TTATGGGGCCCGTCCATGCTCACTACACGGTTTCTTACAGTTTCTGAACCGTGACCCGGGCAAAACCTGATGGGTGACGTACATTTTTGATGAACCTTTGGTTGAAAAAAGTACAGTACACAGAGAGAAATACTGTGCTATCTTGCTCAAAATCAAGCTGAGCAGCTGATGGAATTACTAATACTTACATGGCATGTGTTATGCTGCCCATCGAGGCTGTCAACAATTTGTAGCTCAAGATGCACCAACTGTGGCTGGGCAAGCCACCCTTGATTGCCCCGCTGAGCTTCCCACGTTGCCTGCCACTTCCAGAAAATCATATTAAATGCTTAAGATGTTCCAGGGACTCCCTTTTTATTCACATTACACTCAGTATGTACAGCCCGATCTGTCATGGAGCTCATGAAGCCGCTACGTGTCAGAGATACGCTGTAACAGCCCAGTGAAGTGAGCCCGGACCAAGCCGGATGCAGGGTTAGGGTGGCGCCACCGCGAAAGCTCGACGCGTCAACTCAAATCGAACTGCGGTCGTCCCGCCTACCGTAGTCATCATCAATGCTGGCACCTTCTATTTGGCCTCGTTTCTCTCCTCTCGAGCACCTCCAATTGAGTCCCCAGGCTTCGAGTGCAATATCATTAGATTATAGAATCCGGTTCCTTAGCATAGACAGGTTTGGAAGGGTGAGCCGCATATTACCTGCTCATGCGCATGCAAGAACAAAAGTCCAGTGGGCAGCCGGGAGACGCCCAACTGCTGGCCCCATAGGTTTCGATCTCCGCTTCAACTGTGACTGGGGGCCGGCTCCCGGGCTTCTTGGCGAATTTGATTTTGTGTTCTTCGTTGTTCTGCTGCCTTTTATGTCACTCGGCGCCACGGTGCCAGGCTCATGTCAGTTTGTTTTGGAACGGACTCAAGAGCAATCATGCATGTCGAAATCTGCTGGCATCTCAAGCTCTTTGTCTATGTACTTCTACTATACGTGAACTTGAAGCACCTTTTTCGGCGCTCATGTTTCTCGAGCGGTAACCCTTGTGGGCCGACTGTGCTGGTATCCGGCTGCACCAGTACAGATGGCTCTCAGGGCCTCATACTACCCAGCGTCGAGGACAGTCAATTGGCACCTTACTCTGGCCAACTCTCAGCCTCCCCCGTCGGTTTCTTTCAACCTCTGTCAAGGCGCCCACTTGACAGCCAAAGCGCATTCAAGCCTATCGCCGATCTGAGGCCGTATCTCCTATCTCCGCTACGTTCACTTCGAGTGCATGAGTGAGCTGTATGCTACTTGGCGGAGCCGAATCCATCTCCTAGTCACACTCAACCCACCAGGTCGTGATTTTCCAGATATACTTATAGACGTTCTTCAGGGAAAGTTGTCCTCAGTCATTCTTCCTCCTCCACAGAAGCCTGTGTGATAGGCCCTCAAACTTTGTGAGAAGGTAGATATATTATTCGCCTCATCACACTATCAGCCTAAAACAGCTGACTTCTATGTATAATGAAAACTTCTTACATAGGTCACCATGAATTCAGCTATAGTACTCGATGTCCAAGTTCTAAGTACTGAACGCGTCTTTCCTGATATACGCCTCTCAACACGACGTGACATCAGACTATCCATCATCGATGATGCCGTCGGTCAGTCCGCTCCACCCATCTCCGTACACTTTTTCACTGAAAGAAGGTCGCTTCCTTGGCAGGCAACTTTTCATCTACAGCAGCGTTGTGGATGTTCGACAGCTGGACCCTCTCACCACACCATTTGAAAACATCGCTGGAGAAGACCCTGACCGCCTATCCTCAATGGGCGGGTCAGATATATCTTCTGCCTCACGACAGTCATCCTAACGGAAGGCCTCGCTTTGGTCGTACAGCCGTCTCGTACGGCGACTCAAGTGACCCTGGAGTAGAGCTCATCGTGGCAACTTGCGACTGCCCCATCGCTTCTCTCATTCCGAGCACTGCTGAACGCGCTACTTCATTCAAAGCCCTCGATCTCACATCTTTCCAGCCGCACAAGTTACTCCCTTCCACGCAAATGGCCCTGTACGACATGAAGGACCACGCCGGTTTTCCAGGCGTGGCTATCCAGCTCACGACTTTCTCCTCTGGCGGCGTCGTACTGGCTCTCAAAATACGGCACCTCCTCGCAGACGCCCAATCCATGATGACATTCGTACAAGACTGGGCTGCGACAAGCCGTGCCCTTCTCACGGGAGAGCTCCTTCCAGTCTTAAATCCACTATTCGACCCGAGCCTATTGGATCGCGCCGCTTTAGGAGACATCGATGCATCGGAACCAGACCGGGAGCTGGTTGAGAAGGCGCGCGGGCTCCCGCTCAGGCGATACGACTGGTGGATATCGCAAGAAGGATGTCCGCCACCCATGTTTCCTTCCACTCAGCCGCCACCCGAGCTTGGCGAATCATTCATCATCGAACCGGTCGGCGACGCCATGCCTTGGGACGAGTGGAATATCGCGGAGCCCGTCAGTCATTACCTTATCCATTTCTCGAAAAATGAAGTCGACGAACTTTGGAAGGCTGCTTCGTTTTCACCGACGCTTGGTGCACCCTCCGTGAGAGTCTCAAAGATGGAGGCTCTGCTGGCGTATATGTGGGCTCTGATCAATCGCGCCCGAGGACTGGAGGAGGACGATCAGCTGGTGCATCTCGACTTGACGTTTGGGCTTCGACCTCGCGTCTCTCCACCCCTACCCGATGCATTCCTCGGTTCACCCATCATGTTAGCCCTCATCTCCGCCACAGGAAAGGAAGCATCTGCTAGTGCCATGAACACCGACGCGAACCCATTATCCTCGCTCTTTCACATCGCTTCTCGCATCCGCTCTGTTCTCTCTCAATTCGACGCCGACGCCATTGGAGCATGCCTCCACGACACGGCACATACCATTTCTCCCCAACGCCTCTGGCAGGCCTTCCTCGGACGGCGAAACGTCCTCTTCACATCCTGGGCTCATATGGATGTTTACGGCGTCGATTTTGGAATGGGTGCGAGGCCGAGATACGTCGAGCCGATCATGCCGAGCTGCGATGGTTTACTGCAGATCATGGAGGCGGGGAGTACGAAGAGCATCGGCGAAAAGAGGGGACATTGGTGTGAGGAGGGTGTGGACGTGTGCGTTTACCTCGAAAGGGGAGCGATGGACAACTTACTGAGATTGAGGGAGAGTTGGATACCGAGATTGGAGGGCTGAAGGCAACAACGAAAGGTTTACGGGCCCAAACAACTTGTCACATAATGTATAGTCCACGAACGTTAACGATAAAACAGTGAGCATAGGATGAGATGTGACAGAGCGAGATAAGAACCAACTGGTCCATAGTACGATATTATTCGTGCATAATGTATTCAGTCATGACTAAGAAGGAAAACTACGAGAAGATGCGAATAAATAAAGGTCCTTGTGATCCCTTGAGACAGACACATGCGGGTGGTGCTGGGCTAGACACCGGACTAGTTAGTGATGGTGAGAGTGACCGATAAAACCCAAGGTACTCCATAATCAAGTTCATAGACGATACAAGCAAGATGAAGGGAGACCATGAAGGAAAACGTTCAAGATATTTTCCTGCTCGTCACTAAATGCCGCTTGCCTTTAGCGTAGTCGTTGAGGGGCTCATCCATAGGAAACCAAAGAATCTGGTACTTCTCCGCCTTTACCAACGACTTCGCATTTACTCTCACGAACTTTAACACTTTTCCGTCATCCACCTTTGCCTCCTTCCCACCTAGTATCCTCCCTTTCCCATGAAAGGCTTGCCGGCCTCGGTCTTGAGGTGCACCGCTATCTTCCACGACCTCTATCTCGTCCTCTATCTCGTCCTCGATGACAATGACGTCGTCGTCAGGTGCTTGTCCAGCTCGTAAGCGCTTGACGGGACTCCCTCCGCTTCCAGGTGGACTTGTTGCTAGTGAATGGCCACTCGAACTACTGTGTTGAAAAGGCTTCTTCAGGTGATCCATTAGACGTGCTCGATGACCATGTCCACGACGCCCGTGAGTATATGAATCTTGTGCGCTATGATTTGCGTTCTGGGGCGTTTGGGTGTAGAATTTATGAAGAGCAGCATCGCGTAAGTCCCGGTCTGCATGTCTATAACGGAGGATGAATTAAGAGAGTGATATATTGAAGTAGACCCAGACATACTTCGCTGGATCAAAGAGCAGAAGATTAGTAGTCCCAGTCTTCGTGATTTCATAACCAACGATGGTCCTCGAGTGTCCTTGATGCTGAAGGAGGAGAGGCATGAGGTCCGTGACAGTGACGGCTTCAGCTTGATGAAGAGCGTCGTGCACCGTGACCGCTCTATGGCGTTGCGTAGGTGAGAAGTATTCTTTGACCCAGTTGATGAGCGGGCCGGCTGAAGGGCATGGTGAGAAAACTCCTATAGTATGAGACATTTTGGGATGGGGCATACCATCACCCTTAAGATTGAAGTCTACAAGCTGGGATCTAAGGAGCACTGTTGAGTTGCTTGTAGCTCTGTTAGTCAGAGCAGGGTGAAGAAACCTACGGGATTCCACGGTGCGCTAAAGCAACGTATAGTTCTATGCAGACAAGAGAGGTTCAGCGTGAGACTTGGCTAAGTAAACGATTGAAACTCACCCGCCGTACCGATCCATTTCTTCGTGCCAATCAACTTATGGTTGAGCTGCGCAGCACCTTCCTTGTCGAATCCTATCAAAACTATCAATCTCTGAACATTACCTTAATTAGCGAAAAATCATACCGTGCTTCCAAGCGTCTTCTATCATTTGCTGTAAATTGTGAACACTCGGGGGTAGTGGCTCGTTGAGTAGGCGAGCATACTCGGGTTGGATGGGCTGGTCCATGAGGGCTGTACAGGCCATCAGGAAATTCCGGTATCTGGAGGAGTATCTTCGGAACGTTTCCAGTATTTAGTGCTCGGGATAACATACCCGCAGCCCCATCCGGAATCCCATAACTCGTGGTAAATATGAACGGTTCTGTCGTAACAAAGTACTGCTCTCTGCGTGTAGCCTTTCTCGTGTGAAGACATCAAAGCCTTCTTCACGAGGGAGATCAAACCTATAGGTGTAACTCTGACGATCAGATGGTCACCATATGGATACAGGGGCACGCCGACACATACCAGGAGTGAAGTTCGAAGGAGGAGCATCCTTCTGTGCGGGGTACCAGAAAAAGTCGTCATGTTTCATTGGAGAGTACCATTTCCGTTTTGCGCCAGCCTGTGTCGAGGTAGATGCTGTTGATGCACGAAGGATAGTCGAGGATGCTGCGGATAGACGGAGACAACTCAACGACAGTCAAAAAGCCGTTCAGAACGTGCAGTCGGGAAACAAGACGCTGACAAGGTTCATCGAGATGTCTATTGTAATGAGTTTGTCGGTCGTCGGGACTGAGAGCATCGAGGTCCGCAGAGCAGAACTGGCAGAGCATAGGTTCACTACAATCCCCAAGGAACGGACATGTCGTTTAGACACTTACGCCGACATCATTCACGGCGATCACAAAGTAGAAGGGCGTACTGGTGGGTCAAGCCTTGCCTCTGTTTATGAAGATTACCGCTAGAGGCAGACGGATCCGCAGGAGACATATCGGCTGCTTTGCCAGCCCTGTGTATGGCTCTGGTCTCTAGTAGTACAACGGACGCGGTGGAGTGGGCAAGAGTTTCGCTAAGTGCAAACCTGTGCAAACGCGACGCGACGCCGTGGGTCACGATCTCGCGGTCGGCATGTTCCGGGCCACACGGTTAGTAGCAAAGACGCGCCTTGGCCCCACCGATTTCTCCTCATCACCAACTTGTAATTCTTGCCCCGAAGACCTGTTCCCTAACGGTCTCAGGAACAAAAGTGACAGACGGACTCGTAGTCCTACGGGCTATTATTGATACTTCTAACTCTCCAAAAAAAAAAATACGAACTATGAGCAGTCGCCTAGCATCTTTTCGCGGACCATCGACCCCCTCTTCTTCCCCAGTCCAGGTAAAACAAGCTAAACAGCCCCCTTCCTCGCCTTCCTCGCCTTCCAAAGCCGTCGAGTCTACGTATCATCGAAAACTTCGAACACATCTACTTGAACTGCGCACAGTCTGTTGGACTTGGGATGACCTTGTCTTAACTGACGGCCTCAAAGCCGCACGGAGCTTAGTCGACACCAGAACAGATCTCGAGTATGTCACTTTATTCAAGAATACGAGAAACTTCCGGTACTGACATGTGCAGCAATAAGTTGTCATTACTTGGTGCAAAACAGCCGACAACGAGGTTTGTGGGTCCGATGCTTTCATCCATGGACGACCGGATAGCAGATCTGGACGTCGTCATTGCGAAACTAGTGAGACCCACTTATATATCTGGTTCCTAGCCGCCGACTTTGCTAAACCGCGCGATGAGTAGCGGAAACAATATCACAAGATGAACTCCATAATTGACAACCTCGAGGCGTTGTTAGCGGATGCCCACCGGACGAAAGGTTGGGTATGGGTCTCCGCGGAATCACTGTGGACGACCTGGACTTTAGCGAAGTTTGGTACGATCACAACCACCATTTCACGCGTCCTATGTCATTTACGGGGTGTTATTATCAGTGGCTTCGGTTTCTGAGATCTTACGACCATACCGACGATCGCTGGAAGACCACACGGACCTAGTGAAGAAGCTGCGCTCTCATACAGTCTCGTTCGAAACCTCTCGCGATGCGATCAACAGCTGGGTCGAACAGCGATGGCTTGCGGAGGATGGTTGGGACGCCAATTGGGAAGATCTATGCGCTGCTGAAATACATCGGTGGGAGAGTCGGTGAGCTTGCTTGAACGGTTTCTGGCGATGATTGTAAGCGCGGTGCCTATGCCCTTGTATTCTCCTCTTGCTTAACGATGTTCAAGATACTAGCTCTATGCTTCAAACATTTCAGGCTACGTCTCCAGAGTTTGATGGGTAGCTCAACGCTCAGACACGTATGGTCCATTAAATCCTGCCTGGGTCCATGCACTGTCACCCTGTCAGCAACCCCGCTGGAGCGCTTGAGCGGCATTGCTCGTATCGCAGGAACTGACGACGGACCCGTTAGGCTCTGGAATGTTCTCCATGAGCAGTTACTCCATGTAGTCCTCCATAGCCCTGTTGTGCCCGTCTATGCTCGTTGGTAGCCTGATAACAATTACATTGCCGCGGCTTTCGGGGACAATCGGTCAACATTTGGAAATGACAAACTGAGATGCTCTATTCCCCGCAACATATAGTCAGCATGCCCTTTGAATTCAAAGTTCTCGGAGGCGGTACTGTGAGTCCTCGTTCGACCTTCCAATAAGCACTCCCTGATGTCGCCTTCGTGGGTTAATCGCCGCCTCTGAATCAGAACCGTATCTCTTACGCTACAGTACAAGTTCCATATGTGTATGCTGGAAACCCCTCCGTCATCGCTTGAGATTCCAGGGTCATTCTAAAGAACTGAGCGGCGTCTTCGAGGCCCTGTAGCTTATTGATGTTACGGTCAGAGTCCTCTGCACCCGCGACAAATGGAGTTCCGAAGTTGAAGTTATTCCTGGAAGTTGAAGTTATTTCGGGAAGTTGAAGTTATTATTCTCGTGTACTACTCCATTTGGGTCGGAGAGTGCTGCCAAGGGCAAGCATAGTCTACAGCCCTCGGACACGTTCACAGTGGTCGTTGCGTGATGGAGGTACGCATTTCCAAAGGAGCAAACGCGTGTGAGATATATGGAGACACATAGGGCTTTTATATGTAAAACGCCGTGCGATTAGGAGTGTGTACTTTTTTGAAACAATATCGGTGTGCAATATAGGCTGTATCGAAAACATGCTAGCGTGATCTGGTGCGAGGGGAAGGTAATAGTAAGTACTGTACATAACAGAGCGCGAAAGCGTGGCAAAGCCCATAGCGACACCACCAAGACAATGAACGTAAAGAGGCGCCATATTAGCCACCCCCTTCAAGACTGCGGCGGCGCATCTGCTATCTACATTTTTTTTTTGCCTTCGAAGTTCGGGGTGGTGGTTGCTCCTCGAAGACGACTCACGAGGCCCTTGAGCCGAGGATACGGGCACGACATTTACGGAGGACCCGTTCCAGACGACGCCTCATCTTCTGTTCACAATCACACATCACAATGAGTGCTTCAGGTCGGAAACGAAATGATTGCAACAGACGTACCGTCATACGCTCTCTCAAACCGTTTGCCGAAGCTATCGTGAACAGGAGTCCCAACCTGAATAGTGGACTATACCCAGGCGTCGCAACGACGCTCGCAGCCTGCGCCTCTTCGTCCTGACCGCCCTCGCCTGGCTTGGACGCGGAGTCGAAGCGGTAGTCGACGATATTTTCGAACGTGACCAGTGACTAGATCGACGCGCAGCATATAAGACCAGAAATACGGAGAGAATTGGACGCGTACGCACCAGTGGAAGGGGCTCTAGTTCCTTGACTTGTTCGTCGTATGCCGTGTCGGGCTGGGAGGGCTGTCGTTCCAGGTTTCCCGTTAAGCACAGAGGGTAGTGAAGGAAGAGATAGAAGACGCACCTCATATGAACTCGCGGCGTCCTCACGCGCAGCAACCACGATCTGCAAGGAGGGCCAGTAGTCGTAAACGTCGTACTCCTCCTCCTCCGGCTCTCCTAGCTCTAAAGCTGTCTCGCGCATCCAGTCGTGCTCCCTGTTCCCTACCATGGCTGAGTATTTCCGACGGGGGTCGTGGTGCGGAACAAAGAGAGAGGGCAACGAGGCGAGGCGGGCATTTTAACGTTGGGTTGGCGTCGCTCCTTAATCCGAATTTGAGGACGCGGAGATCTGAAGGTAGGATATACGAGGATATGTGGTTTCGTAAGACGCCTCGCGTCGTCACGAGCGTTCGGTAAGCCCGTTCCCTCGTCTCACTCTACCTAACCTGAGTTTCGTGGCCCACTATATGGCTCTGTTCCGCTCGCTTCTTGTAGTTTCGCAATTCTGCGTGCGAAGGTCGGCGTGGACTGGGCCTTCGGGAAAAGAAGAACAAGGCGTTCTCCAGTGACGATGCCTGCTTGTATTTGTCTGTGTGTGGAATGATCGGCATATTAGCTTCCTTGGGCATGATCGCTGGAACCGAAATCGAAAAGCGCCGCCGCCACATCATCTATAAAAGACCTAAATTATCGTACACGGCCGACAGTCATCGTTCGCAGAAGCTGCGATAGGTGCTACAGGTGCTGCTACAGGACAATATGTGCTCTGAGCCGACTACGGTGGGGATTTGCGACGCATATGCGCCACACTTCACGGTGAGTGCGTTCGTATTTTCACTAAGCCCATTGGGCCACATGAATTATTCATGCGGTCCACCACAATCATCCAAACACGACCATTGGAACCTTCCTCTCCGTGAAGTGGTCCCAGCCCATGAGAGCCTTCGAGGCCACTCGAGAGGCGGGTCACGCCCGACGCGTCACATCAATGGTCGGGCAGGTCGGGCGTCACGCGCTTCCGAATGACTCGGCGGGGAATGCGCGATGCAGGCCCTTCTCAAGTTGTTCTACATCAACACCACACCTCGATGTTCCTTTGTTCCCTCGAACCATACCCTGCCTTGTTGTCATTCCAAACTTATCATGAACTATGCTATCATAGACTTGTCTGAATGCATCAAGCGGCTAACGCCACCTCAACGAGCGTCAATTCGCGCAGCGCAACATAATTATGTTCGATATTCAAGAGCACCATGCCAAGAAAAGTGAAGATTGGAGACTGAAGAAACGTACCTCAATGTCAAGCCCAATGCTCAAGATCTCCGACATATGAGTCCCGCATGAACGTCTGGAAATTTGCACCGCAAGCCGTCAAGAGTCAAGTGTTGCCCCATCACCACTGAAAGGGCCTATCAGAGTCGATCCCAACGGTAGGTCCTGAGCGTAAGTGGTATGGAATGTTGCCCCCATCGTGGCAAACCAAGATCCAGAATTTAAAGCCAATCGAACCGCTATTTCGTCCCCAAGGTGCCCGCCGTCGCCATCAATCCCGGGGGCAGGTTGCTAGTAGATGTGACATCGCCCCAGGATTCCAAATATGACTTCGTGCTCGAAACCTCGGTCGAACTGGTCCATGGAGGACGCATTCGTGCTCGAGCGCCACGGCGACTTCGCCGTGGTGAAGCGGTGACCGCTGTGACACGGTAATTTTAGGTGATTTCGTCATCGCCATTATCTGTGGGTCCAATTGCACATCGCCCAAAAGCTGATGCTAAATGCTGGCCGGGGTGTTGAAAAAGAGCAGGCGATGGTGGTGGAAGAGACGACGGAAAAAAGCGACGGCGGAGGTAGACGAAAGCGTTGGGTTTGCTTCCGTTGGTCGGGAGATCCCCATAACGTGCCAGTTCAACTCCGCGAAACCCAACCCCGCACTGTCCTCCGTCTCCCGGCGGCGGAACCGGACCCTTACCGGCGGTGGGTCGTCCAGCTCTTCAAACCCGCCCCAAAGTGCCCACCAATTTCTCTATATGTTCAAGTTCTGTTGCGGTGGTCCCTCAAGACTGCTTCAAGACGGACCACCTCCATAACCTCACTTGTGCGGGACAGTTACTCAAACTTCAGGGCATCGCGGCGCGATGCTCGTCAGATAGTACCCGCAGTCTGCATTAGCAACACAGTCGCCATATCTTTCAAGCCACCACCAACCTATCGACTTGGTTAGGACCCTTAGATTTTCCACCATGGTTCCAGCATACGATACAAAGTGCATCTATCTACCCAACATACTGGGCGTCGCCATCTCCCAGCGGCGGAAAACTCTTGAGGCGTTCCTTCAAGTTTGCGTACTGATCAACCCTCAAGTGCACCTATCACTTGAGACGACCACGCAGATGTACAAGGCTCCTATGTAGAGCGATGGCGGGATGATAGGTCTTTGGAGGTGTCAATCGTCGCACGGCCGAGGTTGTCACGGTGGACAGTACGTCCGCTGTGTCGCTTTCGTCCCTTAGATGACCACAAAGTATTACCCACATATTTATATTATCGATGATGCATAGATCATGTGGCTAGTGAGTAGGCCTTTCTTCATAAAGTGCGTGCTTCTGGCTGATATGCACAAGCTAGCGAATTGGACAGGCCCACGACCCTCTTTCTTCACCTCAGCATGACTTTGAACCAGGTTGGTTCGGCCTCGGACACCACTCACTTGCCACTGGTGTACCCCAAGCCCTCAAATTGCACGTCAGTGGAAGTTATTATCCGACCTTGCTGCTTATATACACAAACAGAGGAAGTTTAGCAGAGACCTCAGGCTATCCGTCGTCAGACGACTATCACTTATTTTTCAAGCTAGCGAAGTGGACCGGATCCATAACTGGACCTCTTTTTCATCTTAGCATGTCCTCTGACAAGTTCTGTTCGGTCACGGATGCGTCTCAGCGATTTTAATCCGCTGGACTTGTCACTGGTGCACCTCAGGCCCTCAAATTGACTCTCAATGGAAGCTATTCTCCGGATTTTACTGAACTGCGATTAAATCGCCTCGTATGTGCTGCCTTGGATTTACACGATGACCAATATCCTCCTGATTGTGTAGCACACCGCTAGCTTCGGTCCAATGGTGCCTCTGGGCAATCTACGGTGTAGAGCGAGTTCTGATGAGCGAGAACTTCCGGTTTTACCTCAGCGTATAAATTTGTCTAGCCCCTGTCATGTCGCATGTCACCGCTTCGTAATGAGTTTGCCTTTCTAACACTGTTCTTCCCCTCTTTCAATTCCCACCGTGATCACTCTCCCTTCCATTCTAAATATATTTCCAGAGTCCTTCAAGTTGGTAACAATCTGAAGACGTTGATGTGGTCTCCTAACTACGACCGAGCTGTCGATCCTAGTTTCCCAACATGTTTACGGCGAATTGAGTACGCAAAAGCCGTCGTAAGACCGAAGAGTGCTTTGAATGAAGTTGAACTTGATTTGCTCGGCGAGAGCCGGCGGCACGAAATGATGGCTTTAGAGAACCCTAACCAGGATTCCGGGTCGTTCTCAGCAATGACGTTTCTCTGTACTCGACCTCTTCTCACCACCGGAAAGCGCCTCCCCGCTCTTACTCAGCCTCTCAGACTCAGACCATTCTCCTCGTCGTCCAGAATAAATATGAAGGTCGTACCTGTCCCAGTCAGAGAAGACAACTATGCATACCTGTTGATAGATGAGACGACGAACAAAGCGGCGGCTGTCGATCCGTATACAGTTTCGAAGGTCAAGGCTGCCGCTGACCAGCTCGGCGTAGAGATCGTCGCGGCAATAACGACGCATCATCATTATGACCACAGTGGGGGTAATGAGGTGCGTTTATATTAGAACACCTGCGCTCGACCGATGTGGTACTGACTGACCGGAATGTACGCGACTGGACAGGACTTTGTGAGTCGTCGCATTTGCTTCCGTGTGGCGAATACGGTCTGAAACGACTTCAGGCCAAAGAATATCCTGGAAAGCCGATCTATGGTGGTAGCCAACAGGTCAAAGCACTCACAAACCAAGTGAAGGACAACGACGAGTTCAAGATCGGGGATAACATCCATGTCAAGTGCGTCTGCAGTATATTTGTCACCAGGCGCTTCGCCCCTATCCCACATTTTTATTTACCTGTCCACACTAGATGCCTCCACACTCCATGTCATACCCAGGACTCAATATGCTACCATGTCACCGACACCGCCGATGCATCCCAACCTGGTGGAGTCTTCACCGGTGACACACTCTTCATCGCCGGCTGCGGTCGTTTCTTCGAGGGCACAGGCGAAGAGATGCACAACGCTCTCTCGTACCTCGCTCGCCTTCCCGACAAGACCATCGTCTACAACGGCCACGAATACACCAACAGCAGTCTCAAGTTCGCACTTTCCGTCGATCCTGAGAACGCGGGCCTCAAGCGTTTGCAGGAGATTGTGAAGGAGAATCAGGTGACGACGGGGTTGACGACGATTGGGGACGAGAAGGAGTGGAATCCTTTCATGAGGTTGGCTAGTGACCCCGTTAGAGAGGCGACGAAGGCGGCTCATGATGCGACGGCGGCGACGGTTATGGATGCCCTGCGCACTTTGAAGAATAACTTCAGGGGGTGAGTTCGAGGTGCGTGCTTCTACTGTCACCTTGTCTAGGATAGGGGCTGACGAATCGTTTGTGTAGTGTCGTGAGTAGATTGTGATATGACCCAGAGTAGTCGGCCGTGTTTTGTACTTTTAGTTTGTTGCTGACAGCGCTCTTTTGCAATGTATCATCTGGAATCCATAATGCCATTCTATCAATGCCGTTATTGACCCTGACGTACAATCCTGAAATAGCGCTCGTATTGCAGACGTACATATCCGACAAGACCCAATATTAAAAGGCATAGTAAAACGGTGATACTCAGTCCACACACAACAGATCCAATAGTGAAGATTGAAGGAAACCAGACGGAAGACTCGAACACGCAGATGCGCGATCGACATGACATGATGGGCCATGTAGGAGGCGGAGGTGAGGGTGGATGGTGCGTTCAACCGCTCATTCCGAACACCTTGAGCACGGCCGACCGTGCGTACGGGATGTATGACAGGGTGTACCACAGGAAGGCGAGGTATTCTATGATCACGAAGACTACAGGTGTGTAGATCGTCAGCGTGAAACCTAGTGATGGTCGCGAAATTGAAAGCAGTACTCACTGATACATAGGACCTGATAAAGTGATGCTAGTCAGTACAAGGTCCTTAACTTGGGGTGGTTTGCGGAAGGCGGTAAAGGGTAGACTACGTACCCCGCTGTCCAAGACAAAAGCGCCCACGAATATGAGACCTATCGAGACTAGGAATACGATGGTAGCTATCACTCGAATAGGCTTGAACATCTGTCATGTGCAAAAATAAAGTCGAGCCAGGATGGTTAGCTTCTTCACGTAGGTAAGGTGGGCAGAGCGTAGACAGGGGTCATACCATCTTGATTTGCTTGAAGAACCCGATGAGGAACCCAGTACCAACAAGTGAGACGACGGTGCCCAGTGCATATAGGACTGGTTAAAACGTGTGATGTTGGTCCGTCAGTGCTTCTGTACTTGTTCGGTTTGCGGAAGATCGAAAAGGACTCACGAGCGAACGTCGTTAAGGCGCCAATGAACAGGAATATCGTACCCAGTATACTCAACAACAGTCCCACCGCATAACTGCACCAGCAACATAATCAGCATCACCAATAGACACATTCTCACCCTCCACCACGCAAAACTATACCCTCCCAGGCCCATTAAAGCCCACATGCATATGCATGTTCGGAGGAGCCACGCACCCCGACACGTCTTCGAGGAAAGGGGAGACGTGGAAAGACAAAACGAAAGCAAACGCACGATCCAATAAACCCATACAAGCGCTGCGTACGCGTAAGCCCAAGGAAAGAAAACGCCGAATCTCCTTCAAAGAACTGTGTCTCCGGAATCCCTGAACCCGCGGTCTCAAGGTTGAACCAGCCTTTAGAAGCCATATTTTGTTTTAGTTTTGGAAATTAAAACAGTCGTTTGTGAGTCGTGGACGGACGGACGTAGAGGAGGTGAATAAAGTGGGCGATGCTGAACAAGTAAGTATTAGATGCGGGGCGGGGAAGCTGGGCCGGCAGCTGGGCGTGTTTGTGTCGTGGTACGATGAAGGGTGGGTGCGAGCGGAAGCAAGAGGCACTCAGCGCCAAGTCAGCGCTGCCACTGGCCCACTCAGCCGCAGCCTGCCTTGCCTTGCCGCACAGCCCACGCCTCCTTGAAACTCTCCGGCTCTGTTCCAGCTTCGTCACGAATCAAAGCTATCAAGCCGGCCGATTTTTTCTCGTGGTGAGAGACGAGTAGATACGAGAGAGAGAAAAGAAGTGTGCGATTCATTTTGTTTGAGTAAGACTAGTAAGAGTAACAGGACAGTGCTATGCAGAGAAGTAATACAGATTTCACGGTTTTTATGAAGTACTTATAACGAACAACAGCAGTCCCTGTGGACCGAGTCAACGACAACGTGAGTATATACGTGAGTAGCATCCGACACAGCAGAGACAAACTAACACGAAAAGAGTATGAAAAACCGAAGACGTAGATATTCATCATTTTCGTCAAATGCAACATCACAGAGACGCACGAGGAAAAGAGGAGGGCGATTGCAAACACAAACACGAACGCGAGCACAGAACAGAACAGAACAGAGAGGCGAGAGAAAGCTAAAACGATACAGCGATCACAGTCCGAGCCAGCGAAAGAAACGATACAAGTGCTGATAATCCTACATCAAAGGCCATCGAGCGATAGCCTGGCGTCAAGCCGGCTTGTGGCTCAAGATGTCCTGGATGTCGGAGATCGCCCTGCTCGTCTCCATGGCTTGCGGTCCGCCTGGGAGGATGGAGATGCGCTGCTTGGTGATGTTCAACACCGACTGAACGTTGGGCAGAACGCGGATACAATAAGGCGCAACAACAGGGTCCTGTACGAAACGGACCTCAATCAGTATCCGATAGATGACAACGTCAGGCAGGGCATGGCACGTACATTGGTCTTGAGCACGGTGGCGGCGCGCTGGAGCCACCAGAGGGAAGACTTGAAGCTCTCGCCTTCGGGCGCACTCTCACCAATGTAACCACCAAGCTAGAGAAACAATTGAGTATCAGACAGAAGCCTAACAGGATGTTGAACATTAATAGAACCCACCTTGTGCACGATCGTCAAGATCACGGCCTGCGACAACGGAGAAGGCCCGTTCAAAGGCATGATGGCCTCTGGGTTAGACCGACCCAACAGCTCGCGGAGCTGGCGCGGGTCCTGTGTGCTCAGCACGTCGAGGTATGTCTGATCCCAGTCTTCGATCTGGGCGGGAGGAGTATGATGAACCTGCATTGGAGCAGGTGGCGGAAGGGCAGGATGAGATGCTTGAGGAGCAGGAATACCATGACCCCAGGGTCCAGGGATTGGAGGAGGCTGATGACTCTGCTGCTGAGGAAGAGGACCATAGTGTTGCATGGGTGGCGGGCCTTGGTGTACGGGCTGACGCTGTTGTTGATACTGTACCATACTACCGCTAGAAGGCATGGGTGGAGAAGGCTGCCTGTGAGAAGCAACAGGAGGGACGCTAGCGTTGAGGCTCAAGAACTTGACCTGGTCGGCCAGGTTGCGAACGGTCTGCTCGAGGTCGCGAATGACAGCCTACGACAAATCATAGTGAGTGATAGGCTAGTAAACGAATAAAAGGGAGACAAACCTCCTGGCCCCTGAGTGTCTCGCTTTGCCATGAAATGACGTCCTTCTTGAGGTTCATCATCTCAGAATGAATCTCACGAGACAATTCCTGGTGCATGTTGGAAGACTGCTGCGAATAGGCGGGGATGAGCGTTTTGTGGATAGCATCCTTGACATGACGCTCGATGATGGGCGTGACGGAGGAAGAGAACGTGCGCGCGACGTGGGTGGCGACCTCAGGACGGAGGAGCAACTTCTCGATCTCGAGGGGAAGAGTCTACAAAGACTAAATTATACCATGTGACAAGAATGACACACGGAACCACTGACCATGTTCACCGAGTCACCGACGCCAATGGCGATCTGCTCGTTTAGGGCAGCTCTGACCTCGGTCCTGGTGATTTCCCTCAAAGTCGGCAGCACAGAGTTCAACACCTCCGACCTGACCGCCGTCTCGACGACCCTCGTCGTGTTCGTCGTCAACTCGCTCGAGATCAGCTTCAGAATCTTCTCCTGACGGTCAAAGTCCGCTTGTTTCTCGCTGACCCGGATTTCCTCGAGCCGTTGGTCTGTGGGAGCATTGTTGTCAGCGGACATCATGACAGTTACGGACGAAGCGACACAAGGAAGATTATACCCACGTTGCTTATCCATCTCCTTCCCGACCAGCCGGCCAATGCGACTATAAAGGTTTTCCTCCATCTTCTTGATCTCCTTCGTCATGTTGGCGCCAATAGCCGCCTCGTTGTTGATGTTGCTATTGCTATTGCCTTCACCATTTTTACTAGCTTTCTCCTTAGCACCAGCCTCGTCCCTGTCCTTCCAGCCAACATTCCTGTTCCTACCACCCTTGCCCCTCACCTCAGACGGCCTACCGGGCTCACGAGTAAGCTCGGGCTCCACCTCCTCGGACGGTGGCGTCCTATTGCGCTCCAAGGCAAGCGGAGGAAGCGGAGGAGGCGGCATAGGCGCCTGCACCTGAACGGGCTGTTCACGGGGCGGAGGCGTCAGTTCGCGGCGTTGAGGGGGCGGAGGAACCTGCTGCTGTTGCTGAACAGGTGGCGGTGGCGGACGATGAGTCCTAGATTCGACAGCAGGGCCTTGCATGATCTGCGGAGGCAGCGCCGGGAACTTCATCTGCGTGCCCGCAAAAGCGATATCGAACCATTCCTTCCTGATCAGGATCTGGTCCACGCCCGTCGAGTGCACGGAGAAGGCTACGAGGGCGAGCTCGCCTGGCGGGACTTTGGCGGCGACACACGCTGCGTGGGCTTCCTCGCCGTTGGGATCCGCGTCGGCGGTGAGGATGACGAAGTGGATTGTCGGTTTCGGGCCCAGGAACTCGACGACCTGACTGAAGCTCCCGCGGACTTGAGGTTCCTCGGCGCCGACATCCGTGTACTCAAAGCCAAGCTTGAAGGCGATCATGCTGTCACGACGGTTGTTCGCAACCCATAGTGTCTGGAGTCGGGCGTCGTAGTTCGCGTGGCCGAACATATCTGGATCCTCCCTGTCACCGTTGACGAACTTGATCGTGCCGAGAACGTTAGTCCGCATGGAGGACAACAGCTGGAAGACGGTGTTGTGCTTGCGACCGACGACGAATCCACCGTCCACGAGAGTAAGGGAGGAGGGTGCATCCTCACCCCTGATCTTCCCGGACCAGATGGAGAACTTGCGGTCAATATCCCAGAGAGCGAGAGTGGAGTCATCGGAGATGGTCGCGATCGCGGAATGATCAACGTCGAAATCGAAAGCAACAAGAGCCTGCAGACAATATATCAGCTGGTTTCACCTCATACAGACGTGCCGCTCGATGCTTACCGAAGGCACGGCAAATGGCTGAGCAAGGCGATGGAGCTCATGATAGTCTATGGGATCTCCTCCGAACATACGCAAAGCATCGTTGATGTTGAAAAGGAAAACGCCCGTCTCCGACGAGATAGCAATAACGTCCGGCTGCCTAGGGTGCCATTTGACAGAGTGCAGGTTCTCTGGTCCGGTACCGGGCAAAACACAAAGCAAGATCCTGCCACTGGAAGAATGTCAGCGACGCATGAAAAATCGATAGAGACGGTCACGCACAGCGCGTCGTCCGTGATGACTTCGGGAAGCTCCCAGACCACCAGGCCTCCATCCGACGTAATGCCCGCAAGACGGTTTCCAATCACCGCCATGTCAGTGACGGCGGTCGTCAACGGGAAGACATGAGGAAGCTGGAGAAGAGTACGGTCTCCACTAGAACGAGAAATGACACGAACGCGACCTGGATATGAAATGGTAAGTTTATCGTTTCTGAAGATGAAGACAGGCGGACAGACCTTTGGTCATGGCATACGCGACCCACTGGGTCGCACCAATCGTCGTACCAGGCAAAAAAGTAGAGTCAACCCGCACAAGAGCGATGGCCGTCGACTTGACGGCCTCACGGTTCGCTTGGATCTCCTCCAAAGGCTGGTTGACATCGAATATAATAGTTTGAGAATGGCTGAAAGAGACGAAGTTCAGTTTCTAGCCGCTGCATGGTGATACCGACGTTGTACTGACTTAGGGCTCGACTGAGACTTCCCCTTAGGCCCGCCTCTGCCCCTTCCCTCATGCTTGTTCCAACTACCACGGGGGCCCGGTGAGCCATCCTTCTCACGAGGAGAAGGAGCGTGTGCGGTGAAAGCGGGAGGTACAGGGGATCCGGCTAGCGGACCAATGGGTTGCTCAGAAGGACCCTTGCGTTGTTGACCTGGGGCAGGCTGCTTTGGTGGCGAGTTTCGCGGAGAACTGGCCTGGTAGGGCTTCGGGGGCAAGGGACGAGGTTGCGCTTTAGCCTGAACCTGTTCAGGCGAGACAAAGTCGTCGGTTGCACTCGGAATGGGGAGTTCGTATGAAGGCGGTAACTGCTGCGATGAAGATTGCTGCCCGCGAGTCAACTGTTCGATGAGATTCTCGACGGACTTCCGTTTTGAGTCCGTGGTAGAAGGAAGGCTCCATTCCTCGTTGACACTCACCGCGGTGTCTGCCGAATGAGAAAGGGGCGGGACAGCTTTGCGAGGCGAAGTGACGGAAGAGGAAGCGAGAGCATCAAAGGGAGAAACGAAGTCAAACATAGATTTAGGGGGAGGTGGAGGCTGCTGTTGTGGTAGCGGTGGCGCAACCGCCACCGAAGAAGGTGGAGTTTGGAAAGTGTCGTGTACAGGTCCAAGCGGGGTCGTTTCTGGCTCGTAATAAGAGCCGCTGTCCTGTTGGGAGGTATTCGATGATCCAAAAGCAGGCGAAGGATCTGCAGGAGGTAGATGTAAAGAGCTCTGGGGCGAAGGGTTACTGTAGAGGGTCTGAGGTGCGGTCCTGCGATTAGAAAATGAGGGATGAATCAACAACAGGTTCGTTAGATGAGATAAGGATATGTGTTTTTTGACAGGGGTCATGGAAGCTGAGCTAGCACGGATGTTTTCTGTCGAATGACCGGACCATGCAGAGGCCACATTCCTAGGATGCCACGCCACTCCCTAGTATCTTCTACTTCGACTCGATACGCGGCCCCAGATGTGAACGAAAAAGAAAAGGTAGCTCACCCAGACATCAACTGTTCCAACAGCATCCTCCCTTGTGACTCATTGTTGACAGTAGGTCCCGATCGATGTGAAGAGCCGGGTGGAGTCGGAATTTGCTGAGGTTGCTGGGGTACTGAGGCCGTCGAGGTAGAGGGGGAAGCGACGGTGCCGAGGAGAGACAAGAGCGCACTCTGTCTGCTCTCTGCAGAGTTAATGGGAGCGGAAGTCGTGGACGAGACGGAGTTGGCGGTGATAGATACAGGCGTTGCGGGCGCGGAGTTGCTCGACTGGTGCTGCAAGGGGCCACCCGGGAGATTCGAGTTGGGTCCTAGGCTGGCTCCTGCGGTCGGCTGAGGGGCAGCAGTCTGAGCAATTAAATTATTGAAAAGAGTATCGACGTGAGCCGGGGGCGACGGCTGGGCGATCTCGCGGAGCGAATGAGGTGGCGAAACATGCTGATACTTGTTGAGCGACGGCTGGTGAGTCTGTTCCTGGTATCCTCCTGGGGGACTAGAACCACGAGAGAAGAGGTTACGCTGTGTAGGGCGATCCATTGAGGACGTCAAACTGGCCGATGGTGAATGAAAAGATGGAGGGGTGAAGGGGGAAGTGAAGGGGATCGCAAACGACCGCCGTCCAAGACGTCCTCTCTAAACTTGATGCCTCACCCAACACACGAGGCGGGCACATGCTCGGCATCCCCCGCCCTTCCTCATCTACCGCCTTTGGCAGTTCGCCTCGCCCCCTGCCCCCACCAGCTCGAGCACTCATCCCGTCCTTCTTCCACCAATCGTGCTCTGCCTCTCAACTCTGCAGTAAACACAATAGCCCACGGCCGCCCACTCAAGCTGCTCCGCTCTTTCACTCGACGTCACCATTCAAGCCATTAACAGATTCGGACTCCACAAACAGTCCACGGTCAGCGAGCGCGAGGCAGCGTTCGAGACCTAAACGCTGATGCACAGGAAACACAAGCGAAAACACATAATAAATACGCTCTTTGCCATCCCTCCGATCACGCTTACCCCTTTCACGATGCGAACAAAGACTCCCTAGCGATGAGAGGCGGTCTAAATCAAACGTAGATAATAGACGAGATACAGCCAGACCTATGAATAAGCTCTGGTTCTTCCTCATGTCCTTATCCACCCACCGAGCGACTGTTTCTCCGAAAGCAATCATCCACTTATCGAACCCCGCACCGTACTCCGTGATCAAACAGGGCGTTGTTGTTCCCTAATCTCCGATGCAAGGTATCTACCAGAGTTGCATGTTGACCGTAACTCACGAGCGGACGTAAGTTCCCACCCGCGTTGAATCCAGGGGCCGAAATAGTCATAAGCAGAGGCTTCTCGTCCAAAGTTGAATCGTGAGGCTCGAAGCCGTAATCCTGCAAACCGCCCGAAATAGCCCGAAGTCCATTCAAGTTCAAAGCCACGCCACATTATGCACGCGCACCCCTGTCACTCAGGCCTCAGGCATTTAGCCTTGACGTGAAATGCTACTTTTGACTACTGTGGTGACCGTGAGTTCAGTCAGAAGAAATGGTAGATGTCAGAATCGAAATTTAACGTACCGTTTTACGGCCGTCTAACGAAATACCCACCAACCAAATTTTCCACGTCTTCAACTTGAAGGCGCCAGGTGGATCAGGCTGCAGGAAGCCCCAAACGTGCCCACCTCGTGCTAACGGCCCCGATCAGAGTCGTTTTATGTCGAACGGACGCTATACGTGGCTATAGTCCTAGTAAGTCAAAGCGCCGCCGAGTTTACCGAGCAAAAGAAAAACACAAATCAAACAACATGCTTCGGGAGTCTGAGTCTGGGCTTTCTGTGGGTCAGCTGAGCGAACACGTTAATCCTCATTGACACGTTCTGTTTCGTGAATCAGGATAAGTAGATAACACGGAGAAGGGAAGGGAAGGGAAGCCCACTCGTCATCGTCCAGAGACTCCTGAGGCGGAGCCTTTATTTCTATGCCAGGGATCCTGAGAAACATGCAAGACTATATCTGTTACTTGCTATTCTCTGGTGAGACTGCGCATAATTTAGTAGCCGTTGGCCACAGTGACACTCCGAGGAGTACGCCAGCAGTAGATTCAAGCTTGTGAGCCAGTCGTTCTCCCCCCTCTTCGCGTGGAAACACGACGAAGACTGCCAGTGAAGATCACAAGGACAAAAGCCCACCACACGCAGCGAATTAAACGTGGCCAGCGAGATATACATAGTCAAAGCGTGGCCGAAAACACAGACACTAGAAGAAGATAAGTAAAACGAACGAACGGCCTTGAGGCCTGATGCCAGATCAAAAAAAAAACTCAGCGAAGAGCAGTTGACCTCTCATGCCGCATGCATGCATAATCGTCCAGGTATTGATCTCCACCAGAACTCCGAGACGGATGGAAGGTGATAATAGGTCCTTGGAGTATAAATATCCAGCGCTTCAGTAATTCGGAGGAAGGGAGCGAGGCCATGACGCATGCGAGCGAAAGCGCAGAGGTGCAAACGCCTGCTGAGTATGTTTATCACAGTACTGAATCTGGGTCTGAGTCTTGAAGCGCGGCGAATGCGTAGACGGCCGGACGCTAGGCATGGTGGGTTTCGCCAGGTCAACATGCAACTGAACAGTGCGAGAAAGGTGATTTCGCGAGATCAACATGCAACAGGAATGGTCTCGACAACTCGACAAGGCAATACCGCAGAGCTAGACGGTGTTCTTGCGCTACCCTGCTCCATCTCACTCAGTCCATGTACTGACAAACGTTTCTTCGCCCCACGCAACGCGGGTATGTGACACGCTTTGAGTCCGTGCAAACAAGCGGCGAGGCGGCGATCTTCGACGCAACGGTCTACCTGCACTGTATACACAAGCCTTCACCAGATAGACAAGCTGAAGCACTTCGCCGAAGGACAATCTGTCTGGATCATAGATGTGCGGCTTGATGATACGATACTGAGGGAGGCAAAAAGCCAGGTACAGCAGTCTCTTGACTCGTTGCATTTCAACCTGATCTGCGCCCTGTTCAGGCCTGTTGAACGAGCTATTTTCAACGTGTGTCCCCTTTGCCTGTGGCAGACTATGATCCGCCTGTCATGGGATGTATCCGGCCTTCTGATATCTCTGACCATCTGCTAATGTTAGGAGGTCGGAACAGAAGGGTGAGATCATGTTCTTCAACTTCATGATGGTGTGTGGCGTTGGCGTCAAATCGAGATGGATCGTGGCTTGTGTGGCCACAAAAAAGTAGATTCGTATCCAACGAGATGCGTACGAATCATCGACAAGATTTTGGTAACAGTGTCATAACTAAAGACCGCTTCAGACAACGCTGAAGGCGAATGTAGCCGGCCTTTATGTAGCGGGGGAGGACATGCTTTATGTGGATGTGGCGTCCTCAGGAAGACTACCTCCACCACTCGTCCACGACCGGCCGCATTTTGTATGCGCGACAAACGCACGCCAACGGAGTGAGAGCAGAATCAGGCTACAGAATCATCAGAAGGCGCAAAGCCGCAGTGGCCCGTGGGGGCGGAAATATCTCAAGGAAACAAGCCCGCGACAGCTGATCGTAGGATAAGATCCGATTATCATCATGCCGCACCACCCCAATTGGCCAATACGGTCTACCCCGCACGGTCGTAGCCAAACACGCACACACGAAAGCACGGCGGAACGCACCGTGAAGGCCTAGGGGCTGGAGATATAAAAAGGGGCCTGGTGGTCGCCCCAGACCTGCCAAGTTCGCCCAACTCTACCACCACAACCACACAACCACACCAATCCAAACCCACTCACCCAAGTCTTCTTCGTCATGTCCACCGTACGTAGACGCTCGTCTTCATTGTCGAGGTCATAACCTTGATGTCTGTCTGTCTGACTGACCGTTTGTCGTCGGTGTTTAGACCGTCCAGACCCCCGTTAACCAAGGCTGCGGTTCCACCAGCTGTGGCTGTGGCGCTTCGTACGTCTATTCCTCTGGCTTGCTGTCTCCATCCCTTCGATGAACGTCGATGCTGACGATGAACACATTGATGCTATACAGCTGCCAGTGCAAGCCCGGCGAGTGCAAGTGCTGAGCGCATCGATCTTTACCTAACGCCATCCATCCATCCATCTGTCCCTCTCTTGTACCATCCCGGAGTTCCGTTGTATGATGTAACGTCGAAGTTGGAAGAGGTGTGCGATATCGAAATGTTGTTGTGAAATACAATCTTTGCCTTGTGTTGAATCTTCCCTGCGCGAGTGTGCGTCCTGTCTCGTTGGTATAGTATTGCTTCCGGAGAGCTGTCGTGAAGGAGACGGCACTGCGACTGGTATTCGAAGGGTAAGTGCCATGAGGACGACCTGGCTTCCGGAAGGACAAAGTGAAAATTGTCATCGATAGAGGCAGATTTCAAGGGAAATACAGTGAGCGCGACCAAATTGTACAAGTGTTACACCTTCATAGCAATAGCAAATGGTTCTTAGATTGTTTATCGCTTCACCTCGTTGGCTGAGTTGAAAAAAATAATGAGCTCGAAATCCAAAGCAAGAAAGAAGTCGATACTCACCAAGTTGCTGGTATCTTCGCCGCCGCTGAGGATCGATGCTCTCGAGTTGATCGAGCAACTGAAGACATTCCTTCACGAGCACCTGTGAACCTCCCTCGCCTATGGACGTCGAATGATTCCGAAGCAGAAGTTGCTTGTAGTGAACAAGCGATTCCATACACCCTGTCAAGCAAGCCCAGACGGCGTTCCGTTAGTCCACGAATGGCTACGCAAATGGCTATATGACACGGAGAACTCACACTTGCTATCGGGCTGCTCGTCCAACAGTTCCTGGATGACAACTATCTCCCGCTCGAGGAGCTCACGATCATCGCCTGATACCGCCACGGCAACCAGAGGTCAACAAAACGATCACAAGGAGAAACGTATACGGCATGCTTGCCTGTGCCGACGAGCCATCGATGATAAAGCCATACACTCTGATCATTCGGATCTGTATACATCGCGTTCTGAACGAGGTCAAACTCTGCAGGCTAGAGGTCAGCAACGCCACATCTACCCTCATGATACATACTATTGCGTGCGGGTTCTGAGCGGATAGGAGGTTTCTAACCTTGTTGAAGCGTAGCGGCTCTGTTGAGTTTACCGCTATCCCACAAGGAGGAAAGGATCTTGGTTCGCTGATGCCAGGCACTGAAGTTTGAAAAATTGGATTCTATCTTCTTCGTCGTAAAACCAAGTTCTGCAATTTCAGACCATCGGACAGGCATTCCGGCGAGAACATATCTTCGATAATTCCATGCGTGAACTACAGATTGGGTGGGTGTGAGAGAGGCACAAAGAACGAGACGAGAAAGAGACGCACAATTACGAGCATCGGCCTCGAGCATCTTTTCTACTAGGCCCATCTCCCGCTGCCAACTTGTCTTCTTCCATCCTTGGGTATCATCACCATCACCGCCATCCGGGATACTCTCAAGGCACCAACGTCTGTGATTCCAGATCCAATACACTTTGGGATGGGCCTTGAGTGCGATGGTGGTCATTGCGAGGTCATTGGTCAGTAATTCGTATATCTCCTTGGCAGAGCTGAGCAAACAAGTGAGCAGAGTATTCAAGATATATTAGAACTCTGACTTACCTGACGAGAAATATGCCACGGAGGAGTATATTTCGTCTATAATTCCAGACAGTATAGAACTCAGGATTGGTACTCAGTAGACGGGAAGTGAGGTCGAAAGCATCTTGACTCCAGTCTTGGCTCTTCTTCTGTGGAAACGGTCGGCACAAGGACAGTCATTCAGAGCGGGCGAACGCACTCTAGCCAGGACATCATCAGTGAGAGCTAGATAGGCGACGAGTTTGGCCTTGTCGCGCTCCTGCTTGGCCTCTTGGGCCTCACGAGACTGTCGGACGCGTCGTACACCGTGCTGAACAGATATTTATTAGTCGTTGGCAGATATTCAAGCACAGAGAAAGCACCATTGCTATGGCAGATCAAGGTAGATAAGGTGAAGCGAGGGCACTGGGATATTGCACAGAGTACAAGTAGCAGGGTGGCGACTGACGCGGTCGTCGTTGGGAATCGCGTCAGGCGTGAGACTAAATTTCCTGAAGGAGACCTGCCGTCACTCACACGAACGCGTCTCGACTTGAGTTCGTCTTCCACCTTCGTCTGGAAAGACCATCCACATACCAACTGGCCAAGATGCCTTCAGCTGTGAAGACGACGTCTAACTTCGAGTCCCTTGCGGGCCACTTCCCTCTCACGCTGCCTGTGCCGACGCCAGTCACCCACCCAGACCTTGTCTCGCCGAAGGATCTCCACCGCGAGGAGGACCTCTTACGAAACCCATTTTCTTTCCGTCATTGGTGGACTGCTATCCACAGCACACGCGATGCACACATCGCTCTTCAAAAGGCTGAAAAGCAGCCAGACATCCCACCAGAAGTCGCCGCTCTCCTAGGTCCTCTTGCTTCACCCATTGCCCGAAAGGCGCTTCAGCGCTTGACGTATCTTTATGAGGCTGCTCTCGTGCAATTCCCTGGGTCGTTCAAGCTGTGGAAGTCGTATCTGCAGACTAGGATGGGGTATGTCTTGGGCAAGCAGATAAGTAAGAAGAGGTCAGGTGGGAGAAAGAAGTTCCCTGAAATGAGGGACGCGTTGGAGGAGGAGCAGGAGGATCTCGAGCAGTGGGAGGGAGGTTTGGATGGTGTTGTGGGTTGGGAAGAGTGGAAGGCTCTTGCCGCGACTTTTGAGCGGTGCCTCATGTGGCTTCCAAAGGTGCGTTAATCCCGAAGGTTACGAGCTAAACAGTGCTGATGCGTGCCGATATATTTTGCATCTCCTTTATGTAGATGCCACGAATATGGCTGATGTACCTCTCCATATTCAACCACCCAAACTGTCCACCAGTCCTATCTCATACACACGCACGCCGTACCTTCGACCGCGCTCTCCGCACCCTCCCACCATCTCTCCACCACCGCATCTGGGTTCGTTATCTACTTTGGGCGGAATCAAAAGGTGGTGCAACGACCGTTTCTGTGTATCGTCGATACCTCGCAATCGACCCCAGCATCACCGAACGCTACACCGCTCTTCTTCTCTCCCCAAGCAACCCTTCCCCACGACCTCTCGAAGCCGCCAAACTCCTTCTGTCCCTAGCTCGGAAAGCTGCTCGGGGCGAATACACCAGTCCAGAGGGGAAGAGCCCCTACCAACTTCTTGGAGAGTGGTTGAACGTTGTCGAAGCCAACGCGGAGGCCGTCGGGCTGAGTCTCGAGGACACAATACGTGTTACTGAGGAGGAAGAAAAGCTCAAGGTTGAGGAGGACGAAGGCAAAACTGACGACGCCTCGCAGAAGCCATCAGGATCAGAACCTGTCTCAGTCAAGGGTCAGCTCATTCGTTTTGCCGGGCCGCCTGTGGCTGTCACCCCAGAAGGAAAACCCGCTCCCGCATACGACGAGGACGAGGACCCCACAAGCTCTCGCAAGCTCGACGTTGAAAAAATCGTCCGTGTCGATGGTCTCGCGGTCTACAAAGACCAAGCTGGCCGTCTCTGGTCAGGCTTGGCGTCCTATTGGTTGAGACGCGCTGAGTTTGCTCGCGCGAAGCAGACGTTCGAGACTGGGATCGCGTCAGTCCTGACTATCCGGGACTTCACTCAGATCTTCGATGCATATGCCGAATTCAGCGAGACGGTGATCAACTCGTTGATGGAGGCTTTGGCGGAGGAGGCCGATGAAGATGACGACGAGGAGATCGACAAAGAAGCTGTCGAGAAGGAATTGGATGTGAACATGAAGGAGTTCGAGGACTTGATGGACCGGAGACCATTCTTGGTGAATGACGTCCTGCTGAGACGGAATCCGCATGATGTTCAGGAGTGGGAGAAGAGGGTAGCTCTATGGGGTGATAATGACGAGAAGGTATGTTTTCCTCATGCCGACATGGTTCGTTTTCTCTCATCTCACTAACCGCGTATTATAGGTCGCAGAGACTTACACGAATGCATTGTCTACCGTCAACCCGCGGAAAGCCACCGCAAACTTCCACCGACTTTATATCAACTTTGCCAAGTTCTATGAAGAGGGTGGCGTAAGCGGCCAGGCAGAGCCCGATCTTGGGAGCGCTCGTAAAGTTTTGGAGAAGGCAACTAAGGTCAACTTCAAGACGGTGGAGGACCTTGCGGAGATCTGGTGTGAGTGGGCCGAACTGGAGGTCCGGCACGAGTATGTCCAATTCGGCTTTCTATATATGCTCAGAATTCTAACCGATTCATAGGAACTACGACGAAGCGATCCGTGTAATGCAACGAGCCGCCGCTATCCCGAAGAACCCGAAGATCAACTACCACGATCATGTATGTATCTATCTCTCGCGGCGTTTTATCATTGTTTCCATAAAGCTGAGAAACTACGCCAGGCTTTGTCTGTACAAGCTCGTTTGTTCAAGTCACTCAAACTCTGGTCCTTCTACGTCGATCTCGAAGAGTCACTTGGCACAGTAGAAACTGCCAAAGCTGTCTACGACAAGATCCTTGAGCTTCGCATCGCAAATGCTCAAGTGATCGTCAATTACGCTGCGTTCCTCGAGGAGAACAAGTACTTTGAGGAGAGCTTTAAGGTCAGTTTTGTTTTCTCATAATTAACGTAGCTTTTACTGACATAACCTCGTTGACCAGGTATACGAGCGAGGCATTGAGCTCTTCACGTTCCCCGTGTCCTTCGAGATCTGGAACATCTACCTCGCGAAGTTCGTCAAGCGATACGTACGTCTATACCCCTTGGTTTTAGTTTGAACTCGGACACTAATTCGTCCTGCTTCGTAGGGTGGCTCCAAACTGGAACGTGCTCGTGATCTATTCGAGCAAGCACTCGAGAAGTGCCCTCCAAAATCGTGCAAGTCCATCTTCCTCATGTATGCCACCCTTGAAGAAGAACATGGCCTCGCAAAACGAGCTATGTCCATCTACGATCGTGCCACACAAGTCATCGACGACAAGGACAAGTTCGAGGCAAGCCTGGTCCCATCCTGCCATACTGCTAAGGGCCCTTGCTGACCAGACAAACGCATTGTTTTACAGATGTTCACTATCTACATCGCCAAGGCCGCCTCGAACTACGGCCTGCCAGCCACTCGTCCTATCTACGAACGCGCCCTCGAAGTCCTCCCCGACCGTCAGACCGCCCAAATGTGCATGCGGTTCGCCTCTCTGGAACGCAAACTCGGCGAAATCGACCGTGCTCGCGCCATCTACGCACACGCCTCCCAGTTCTGCGATCCTCGTGTTAACCCCGAATTCTGGGCGGAATGGCACGCGTTCGAGATCGATACGGGCTCTGAGGATACGTTCCGGGAGATGCTCAGGATCAAGCGGAGTGTGCAGGCGAGGTACAATACCGAGTCGAGCTATCTTGCGGCTCAGACGATGGCGGCGCGTCAGGGTAATTCGCCAGGTGCTGGTACTGGTAGAGAAGAGGTGGCGGATCCGATGGCGGCAGCGGAGAAGCAGGCCGGTGGAGGGAAAGCTGGACCAGCCTTCGTGGCTGCGAAGACCAACCCGATCAGGAGCACTGAGGAAATAAAGGTGGATGCTGCACCTGCTGGAAACGACGAGGAGATTCATATATCTGACGATGACGAGGATATGTGAGAACTTTGTGATTTTCTACGGTGCGCGAGCGGCGTTGTACGTTTGGTGAATATTGCTATGGACCATTGCTATGCGTTCGTCCTTTCTGTCCATCCAGTGCCCGCTTGATGGATAACCTTTCATGCAAGCGTAAAGTTCAGAGAAAGGATAACATGCATGTGGGCGCCCAATTTTATACCGTATGTGCATGGCTTGCGAGTTTGATATAGTCTCTAGAAGCGGCCACCCTGCTCCTAATGAGATCCCAGGATGAACACGTAAGCGATTCAAGTAGGACGACTGCAGGGCGAGGAGGTATCTCGACCAAGAACAGCGAGAATCCCACAATAAAGATGTCGGTACGAGGTTGACTTCGGGGCATGTGCGTCATATGGGGCATACAAGCGTAGAGGAAAAGAACAAAACAGTATAGGAGAACAATAACATGCCATGGAAAACAACACCCTGCCAGCAAACCCTCTTCCCGACGTATCCCCACCCATCCCCAGAGACATCGACAGCGCAACGCGAGTTTACGCTTAGTTCATCTGCCTGATGAGCTTGTTGATGTTGTCCTCACGGTTACCGAAGTCACCGCCTTGAACGTAGTGTTGGAACTTCCGGGTCCTCCAGCCGCCAGTGGGGTTGGAGAGCTTGAAGGGCCAGAGGAAGTTGGAGGCCTTACGAATACACATTAGCTCCTGGCGGAAACTCGGGATGACATTCATATCTCACCTGCTTGAAGTTGGGGCCAGCGGTGGAGATCTCGTGCACGAGGTCCTCGACAGAAAGGATGTCGTACTTGCCAAGGCTCTCTTCGATGACAGCGTTGTTGGAAAGGGGAATGCGTTGCTTGTTGACCTTTCCATAGCCACGCTTGTAGATCAGCTCGCGGACAGACTTCAGGTTAGGCTCGCTGTATGGTAATTAGCTTCACCCAAGCGCTCCGATAGACAATTTGCGACATACCCGTAAGTGACATATGGCTCGACCAACCGAAGCATCTGCTGGGTGGCCTTGGTGACACGAACGAAAACGCCGTTGTTGATCTGGAGGAGACGGAGGAGCTGCAAGATTTTGCGCGGTTTGGGGGCGATTTCGTTGATACTATGAAATGGGTTCGATGGTAATTCTAGGCGACGAATGGAAAATGGACTCACCCCCTGATCCTGACCACGAAGTACACCTTCGGTTGAGCGGGCACGTAGAAGTCACCAGATGACCGTGCAGCCCTCTTCAAACGAATCTCCTCCTTCTCCTTCGACAGGTACTCCTTGACATACGACTCGGCACGCTTGAAGACAACCTTTCGCTTGGCTTTGGCGGCCTAGAAATGCGCAAGTCAGTACCGAACAAGAGTTTGGTCATAGCGTGTAGGGCTCAGTCCCGAAAGATGGTTGATTGAAGGCAGCATAGTGGACGAATCCACTAGCCGTCAAGAAAAAGAAATGCATCATGGCCGGTCTGGAGGAAGAGTTGACGTACTTTGCGGGCAGCATCTGCTTTAGCCAGACGCTCTTCACGAGCCTTTTCGGTCTGCTTGCGCTTTTTGAGGAGGGTCTCCGGGACCTCGATGTCCTAACAAGAGGTGCAAGAATTGAGAACTCGTGAATCGACGTAAAACAATTGGCCATAGTTCCAACTCACGGAGACAGTGGGGACGCTACGATTCAGAGCGGGTCAGACATGCCATTCAGTGTAGATATGAAGGATACGTACGTTGTTGAGGGCGCCATTGCTTGAGGATAGTCTTCGTGGCCGTTGTCCAAAACGTCGGTGAGCGCGGTGGCTTAGGTCTGTATAGTATGACAAAGAATATCTCACGGTCTATTTCGGCAGTCTCCCTTGACTGACCCGACGGCTTGGCTGTTGCAATTCATCGCGTCCTTGTCCAGAAGTTCACCGTTCAACATTCGCAAAAAGACCGCCAAACGATGTAATGCCTCCACCCCTCGTGCGTTCTATTACTTTCATTCTAGCTAACTTCCGCCCGTAACCTACGTATACGCCATTATCCAAAGGCATGTCGATAGCTTTCCGCTGCGGACTCTGTAGGCCCATTTCACCATGGCAGGTCGCTTACTTATGTTGCCCAATGGATGTGACTCGAGCCTCGCGTCCAATAGCTTTCCCATACCGAGACATACCGGCTTTCATAGAGACATTATAGCGAATGCGCGACAGCCAGGAGCCTTTTCGACCGGCTGCCCGCTGTGCCTGTCCATGATCCATGAACATGACGTCTGCGTCTCACACGTTCATCAGCGCTTGCTACCGTCGGAGTTGGCCCAAGCGCGCTAGTAAGTATGTGGCCCTCAACGTAACAGCTATGGACAATATACTGGTAAATCATCAGAGTCAAGACAGTTCTAGGTGTGCTCGACTGCTTGAATATTCAACAAGGCGCTCGTTGGCTCTCACGGGGTGGTATGTAAGCTAAGTTTCCAAACCTTGTTTAGGCCTCCCGTTTATATGAGTCACAGTACTTCAACGGTACTCTTCCATCAATCAATCGGGTATTGACCTACTTGCTCCCTATAGCCGAGCTTCCGCTTTGTCAACAGGGAGCTTAAAGTGCTTGGTGTAATACCGCCGTTGGCGAACGTCAATGACTCGACTACGACCTTCAAGAAGAACACACTGAACTCTGTGATTTGTATCATACAGTTAGCCGCCCATGTCTACCCCACCAGCGTACCAAGATCACCACCCTGTGTTGGCACAGGATGTGCTGGCAGACGACCCCTACTCAACCCCTTCTTCTCCCCAGTATACTCTTGATGCACCTCCTTGCGAGCGCGTTCTGCAGACATCCTCAGCTGCTACTTCCTCCGGTTCTTCCACCCTAGGGAATGCATCATCCTCAGAGTTCATCTTCAAAGGCTATGCCATGGAAATCAACCTAGGGCCCAAACTCTGGGGTCTCATGTTACCTGCCTTCGGTCACAATGGCCACGTCGAAGGCACAGTCAAGCTCTATAAGAACTGCACGCACACATTGCGTCTGGTAGTCTCGGTAGGCTCACGTTCCCCATGGTATGGCGTAATATTGCCTGATCGCGACTTTGTCGTAGCTCATTGGTCGAGCAACCATCACTTGCAGCAGAGGTCGAGGGATCATCGCGGACGCCTTCGCTACCGTCGTTTCGCAGACTGTGACTATACCTCTATCCGGCGACGGTCCATATTACCCCACAGAACAACCATACACATTTTCCATTCCCTTCCCAACTTACGTCAAAGGTGGGACTCTCCCTATCCCTCCTTCATTTGCGGCCTGGAGCCCAGGAATCAGCTCAGAAGTGTCTTACACGCTGAAGGTCGATGCGTACCGTAAGGGCTTGCGGCGCCATGAAGAGTAAATGAATTTTCTGAGTCTCCTTTGCTGAAAGCTGACCGACTCAATTTATTCGTCCCTGCAGTCGAATCATCCCTGTGTTCTACCTCCCAAAAACATGGCCCTCTGTACCTCCTTTCCATGGAGATATCATGACGGACTTCGCCAACCCCCACGGACGAGTTAAGACTCTCAGGATCCCTCGACTTGTCAGCAGCCAGTCCTCAAAAAGCAAACTCCCTGACGGCTGGAAGGCACCGATAGTGAAGGTACAGTTGTCTTCCCCGTTTACCAGACCTGCAATCTAACCCATCACGTAGATGTCCATGCCTGCACTCTCGACATTCAGTTCCGGCTTTCCCATTCCTGTCAAAGTCGACATCTCCTGTCCAGAATCACCCGCATTGCCGAAGATGCTCTGCCCGTTCTTAGAAGTTCAGCTTCTGAGGCGGTTACTGTCGGTGGTGGACGGCAAGATGGTACTCGGGAGTCAAGACCTTGTCATTTGTAGCGGTAGTCTCATTGAGACTATGACTCCCCAGGAAGGCACGACCGTGAGTCATTTTGAGGTCCTGGTTGGACAGCCGGGCCATGAACAAACATGGCAGGTGAAGGATGTCGTCGAAGTATCTGTACGTCGTCATCCTTCTTTGCCGATTCAATACGAGGCAATACTGATTACATATCTGTCTATGTGCTCTCACCTTACAGTATATTCTCTCAGTATCGATAAAGCCGACCGAGAACATGAAATACCTTCCACGATATCGTCACGAAGAGGTCATTCACGTCGTGAGTGAGCCGTGGGGTACTCGGGAGCGGGAGATGCTTCATTTGGGGGGTATATCTGCGCCTGCCGTGGCCTTGAACGGCGCGCGCAGGCCTCTTCGACTCACACACAGTATGAATTGGTGAACTAGAGGTGCTGCTGTCGTACCAAGACCGGGAGTACAGAGATATTACACTAGAATACAGATATGCTTCTCTGGGTTGAGCGCGCACAATACCCTAGTACGATTGATCAGGATCATTTTTTATCACACACAGACGAACAATTTCTACTCTCAATACCCTCGCTATATTATGTACATATATGCAGAACTTATTTCTATTCGTTCTTTATATTGTTGCGCCAGGTCAAACGTGTCAGAATGGAAGGAACGACCTCACACCCGTTAGAATGCCCCAGGATTTTGGTCCCGAGAGTATATTGCAAAGATAACAATACAACATCATATTCGTACTTCTCTACCGCGTCCAACCTTCGCCTCACGCCGGGTCTGGGGATTCTTGTAAGAATTGGTAACAGTAGTCACTAAGCCGCTGGAGCATCCGGCCGCTTGCCGAAAGTCGGTTCGATCTTCCTGTCAGCGCTCATGAAGGCACGGACCTGGTCGTCGGTGACCTTGGCTTTTCGCTGGAAACCATGACATGACCGTGATTAGTAAAGAAATGGGCAGCGAAGAAAGACAGACGAACGTCTTGGAAATCTTTCACGAAGTCTTGAAGTAGTTTGATACATTTGCCTTTCAGCTGGCCAGTCAACAGCTCGCCCTTCCGGTAGTCCTGGAAAGATGAATCAGCAGAATAACGTGTGGAAGTGGGTTGGACAAAGACGCTCACCTCTCCGAGCTTCTTGAGCTCCTCATCATCGTCCAAGAAGAAACCCAAGTACTGATAGCTCACATCCACGTCTGGATTGCCTCCCAACCTTCTATGCTCCTCCTCAGTCTCCTGGCCACCGCTGAATCCATGCTTATTAATCTTGTTCTTGATCTGCGACGGAGTATCGGACATAAAGATACTGCTGTTGGCATCTGAGGCGCTCATCTTGGTCTGTGGGCCTTGAAGGGCCGGGAAGAATTTGGCGTGAAGGAGTGTGGGTTTCTGGTATTTGAGTTTCTGAGCAACGTCGCGGGTGAGACGGAAGTACGGGTCTTGGTCGATGGCGCAAGGAATAAGACAGGGGATGTTGGAGGCATCGCCAAAGATGTGAGGGAAGGAATTGGAGAAGGCTGGGGCGGATTGAATGGCTGCGAAATGGATTTTCCCGATGTTATCCCTGTGCAAATCATGGGACATGTTTTAAGTATGGCAGGCCGAGAAGGAATATTATCAGCACGTACGAGTCGTTGAAGCCGAATGTAGCCTTGGCTTGATTAATCGTGATCTGGCGGGAGATCTTAGAGATATTTCGGTAGAAGGCCCCTCCAACGTAGTCGTAGTCACTGAAGATGAAGGTCTTTTCGAGATTGAATCCGACGGCAATGATGTCGCGTGCGTTCTGGAAGGCAAATTTGTGCGTCTGCTCAGGCTTCAATTCATGTTTGAACAGGAATTTCTCGTCATCTGAACGGAGTGGTATATGTTAGAAGCAGAAAGGTGATAGAAACCGACCCAACGTGCCTGTAAGCTGCACGACCAATGGAACGTCGAAGACATCCTGCAACCATCTAGAGCACGTTAGATCATAGCCAACGGCCAGGTTTCAACAGAACGCACTTTGTGAAAACGAAAGGGATCATGTGCCCCAGATGCATACTGTCACTACTCGGGCCTCGGCCGGTGTAGAGATAGAATGGCTTGCCCTGCTCATAGCGATCTAAGATTTTGTCGAATTCACTACACACCGTCCGTCAATACATCATTTTAGGCAACCATACAAACTTCATTACCGATGCGAAAAGAAGGTTCCTCGACGGAGAAGGACGTGTGGTTTGTGACCCGTCAGCTTTTCGAAGCGGTCGAGCAAGGCCCGATCAATCCTTCTTGTGCCGAATTGATCAATGAGTTTGTCGTAGTCGATCGCAAGCTGCTTTCCGTCGCTAGATACAGATCCCTGGACATCCCAGGGAGTAACGACCTGCGCATGTGCTTGAGCTGGATCGGCAGGCTTGATCTCCGGTGCGTCAGTTTTGAAAGAGGGCTGTTCAGTTCTACGGATATAATAGAGATTAACGAAGTGGTCGAGATTTGAGAAATTCTAATGCGTACGATTGTGAAGCTAAAGTCGATGCACCAAGTTTATCCGCAACCGCGTCAACTGCAGCTGAAACTGTCGACGCTACTGAATCGGCCATTTCTGAAGAGTATGAGGGAGGAGTGATGGTGATGTGTGTGAGCTGGACGAGTCAAAGCTTTACAAGCGAACCTGAAATCTTTATCTTATCTTATCTTGAGCACGAATCATTAGATCAAACCCTAACCTAGAGCATCCCGCCTTTGCCCGCCGAGGTCGTCGTGCTCGACTCGCCGCTACCGGCATCATACCTCCCATACCTTTTCTCCTGATTTTCTCATACTTTCGCCATGGCCTCTCATGAGGTCACCGAATATCCCAATCTATTTCGTGAGTACTTCAGAATATCCTTACAAGTATCAATAACTAATAATGTGATCAAGGCTCCGAGGCTATGAGCCTAGTGCAGTTGTTTGTGCCCACCGAAGTCGCACATGATACTGTCGCTGAGCTTGGAGAACTCGGTAATGTTCAGTTCAAAGACGTACGCATTCACAGTTGAGCACGATGCGCATATGTTGACTTTGAGACCTATAGTTGAACCCCGATGTCAACACCTTCCAACGCTCCTTCATCGGCGAAATTCGTCGCGTCGACGAAATGTCAAGGCGCGTTCGTTTCTTCTCCAGCCAAATCGACAAGGAGAAGGACAAAATTCCAGTTCGACCTCTGTACGACTCTGCGCCTCTCATCACCGTTGGTCCTCGCGCGGCGCAGACTATGGACGAGTTGGACGTCACCTTGTCTGAGCACGAGTCGAGACTGTCACAGATGAACGAGAGTTACGAGGTGCTCAGCGGTCGTTTGCGTGAGCTCGTTGAGGCCAGGCATGTCCTGAGGGAGACTGCAGTCTTCTTCGACAGGGTATGTAGTTCGGTCTCCTGACCGCACAGTTTCTTCACTGATACACGTGGCTTCCTAGGCTGAGGTCAACCAGTCCGAGATGAGACCCTCGCTCGATGACGCCGCTGCCCCATTGCTGCAACACGAAGATCGCGAGAATCAGTTCTCTGCCTCCAATGTTCAGTTCGATCTCGAGTAAGTGCCTGTTTCCGTATTTCCTCGGGAGCCTGCGTTGACGCCCTGCACAGGTTCGTTGCTGGTACCATTGACCGCGCTCGGCTTCCCACCTTTGAACGTGTGCTCTGGCGTGTTCTCCGTGGCAATCTGTACATGAACCATACCGACATCACTGAACCTTTTGTCGACCCTTCGACTGGTTCCGAGACGCGCAAGAACGTCTTCATCATCTTCGCTCATGGCGAGGCGCTCCTCGCTAAGATTCGCAAGGTCGCCGAGTCTATGGGTGCCACCATCTATCCCATTGACGCCAACGCTGATAAGCGCGTCGACTCACTCCGTGAGGTGAATGGTCGCATTGAAGATCTTGAGATGGTCCTCTACAACACCGGTTCCACGCGGAGGACCGAATTGTTAAAGATTGGAGAGAATTTGGCTAGCTGGCAGGACGTAGTTAGGAAGGAGAAGGCCATCTATGAGACGCTCAACCTCTTCAATTACGATGTCAGAAGGAAGACACTCATCGCGGAGGGTTGGTGTCCGACGAGGGATATCGCAACGATCCAGTTGGCTCTTCGCCATGCTACGGTACGACTTTCTTTACTTTTCATCGTATGGATCCTGACGTTGCTCACAGGAGGAGTCCGGCACGAGTGTGCCTCCCATTCTGCATGAGCTTCGCACTAGCAAGACTCCTCCCACATTCCAGCGGACGAACAAGTTCACCGAAGGTTTCCAGACTATCATGGACAGCTACGGTATCGCTACGTACCAGGAGGTCAACCCGGGTCTCTTTGCCGTCATCACCTTCCCGTTCCTGTTCGCGGTCATGTTCGGAGACATTGGCCACGGTATCATCGTCTTCGTCGCCGGCATTCTCATGATCTTGAACGAGAGGAAGCTTGCGCGTGCAGACCTAGGAGAGATCTTTGGCACTTTCTTCTAGTAAGCGAATCCTCAACGCAGAAGTCACATTAGTTAACTCCCTCATTTGCAGTGGACGCTACATTATTCTTCTCATGGGTGCCTTCTCGATATACACCGGCTTCATTTACAACGACGTATTCTCAAAGTCACTGGACATCTGGCAGTCTGGCTGGGAATGGCCAGATGCGGACGAGGGCATTATCGAGGCTCGTCCAAACGGCGGCGTATATCCGTTCGGTTTGGATCCCGGTTGGCATGGGGCAGACAACGCACTCATCTTCACGAACTCATACAAGATGAAGATGTCCATCGTCCTTGGTGTTATCCATGTATGACATTCTTCCTTTTGGCCTTCATCATGTCTAACTATTCTCTAGATGACGTTCGCGCTTTGCCTCCAAGTCCCGAACCACCTCCGATTCAAGCGCCCTCTCGATATCTGGACCAACTTCGTTCCTCAGTTACTTTTCCTTCAGAGCATTTTCGGATACCTCGTCATCTGTATCATCTACAAGTGGTCGGTCGACTGGGAAAAGGCCAATGCTCAGCCACCCAGTCTATTGAACATGCTTATTGCTATGTTCCTGTCTCCCGGAACGATTCCCGACGACTCTCATTTGTACAGTGGGCAGAGCATCGTTCAGAGCATCTTGGTGCTCATCGCCCTTGTTTGTGTTCCTTGGATGCTGTGTGTCAAGCCATACTTGCAATACAAGGAGATGAAGAAGATTCAGGACCAGGGTTATGTTGGCGTTGGGCAAGGAGATGGAATGGACCACGTCCCGAGCAGGGCTGACGACGACGTTCTTCAAGGCGAAGAGGAGGGTAATGGACGAGCCATTGCTGAAGACGCAGATGATGAAGAGCATGTACGTCTATTTCAGAATATTCAACATTGATCTCGCACTGATTAGCGCACGCAGGAGCAACACGACTTTGGCGAGGTGGTGATCCATCAGATCATTCACACCATCGAGTTCTGCCTTGGTTGTATATCCCACACCGCGTCGTACCTTCGTCTTTGGGCTCTTTCCCTCGCCCATGCTCAGCTCTCCGAGGTGTTATGGGATATGACCCTGGAGAATGTGCTTGGGATGAGTGGAGCACTGGGAATCGTCGCACTAATCATCGTAGGGATACTGTGGTTCGTCCTGACCATATTCATTCTCTGTATCATGGAGGTACGTTCGTTTCGTATGCTCATGGCCTTCTCTCGAGTCGTGCTTGTCCTTGCGACTGATCCATCTTGATCCATGTTACTGATTGTTTGATTTACGCCCCCTCGTGCGCTAACAGGGTCTTAGTGCGTTCCTCCACGCGCTGCGTCTGCACTGGGTCGAGGCGAACAGCAAGCACTACGAGGCCGGTGGATACGTACGTCCTTTTGCACTTCCCCGCGCGCTTCTCGGTTGTGAAGTAGGTCACACGCTGATGTTTGTTGTCACCTGGCCATTCACAGCAATTCGTGCCGCTCAGCTTCGCGAGTCTCGAAGAGAAAGAGTGAGGGGGATTTGCCAGCGAGCTTACAGGCTGGAAGTTACTGTCTTTTCACAGCGCTACGATCAACGCGGCCTGTAACTATTGGTTGATGGTTTATGCATAAGCTTCGAACGGAAGTAGTACATGTCCAATGCCAGATGAACTGCGTCTGTTGAGAGCGATCTTCCAGTCACATTGATTCTCCGGACATGTACATGTCGCGCCGTTGCTGTGCGTTCGCCCGGCCTCGCAGAAGCCTCGGAGGTGGTACACTGCACAGGCCTGCTGGCGCCAACGTTGACTGGAGCAAAGTACGACCGTCCTACGCCCAACCTACGCCCCACAAGCGATCGTGACGAACTGGGCAAGGTCTTGCGCCGTGCGAGAATTGGCTGGCTGAATCTGGAGCAGGCCGGAGCGTGGGGCGACTGGCTCCGCGCATGAGGAAATTGACAATTCCGATGTTTCCGCCCTCTAATGATTACATGGCTGAGCTTGGGGTACTCTTGTTTTTTTATTCTCTCTTAGCTATAGGCTGCGATGAGGGCACTGGGATGGTGCGGATCTGTGCGTCGGTGAGCAGGCGGTGTGGGGCCCCGCATTTCGGCATCAGCCACAGCTTGGATTCGGCTAGATTCCATCGGTGGCGCTCACGGGATGGTCCGTGGTGATTTTTCAAAGTCCGCTGGGAGGCTCGCGATATAACAGATCTCTTCCCATCGCCGACGATTTCTCACCTCTTCTCTCCCCTTCCTTCTCTAATTCCTAGAGGTATGTCCTCTCCCTTTGCTTGCTTCGTCGTGCCCCGCTGATCTCCTCTTTGCCAGGCTTCGGCCAATACATAGACTTAGAAGGTTCCTATCCTTGTCGCTTTCGTGCGCCCATCGATTCTCTCTTGCAAATTTTCATTCGTATCATCTACGAAGGTACGCCAGTAATGTGTAAGCGTTTTCAGCGATTCTCTTCTTACGATTCGCACTTAGATTTCAGAAATGCCAGCTGTCACCGCTTCCACCCCCGCCGCCCCTTCTGTCGCTTCCCTCAAGGCTGCCATCAACGGCAGCGCCGATGGACTTGATGTCTCTGCCCTTTTCGCCTCGGACAAGGCTGCCCGCAAGTCGGTAGCTGACTCCGTCGCTACACTCGCTCAAAAGGACGGCCCATCGGCCCTCAAGTCCATGGCTTTCACCGACGCCATCATCAAGGCTCTCGCCGACAAGAAGTCTCCCGCTGCCCGTGAGGGCGCCGCTGAGGCCGTTTCCGCCGTCATTGCTGCTGACGTCAAGGCTCTCGAGCCATCTTTCGTCACCTCTGGCCTCTATGCCGCCCTTCTCGAGTCTTTCGCCGACAAGATGCCCGCTGTCCGGAACGCGGCCGTCGAGGCGGTCAAGTCGTACGCTTCCAAGATGAACCCCTGGGCTGCGCCGCAAATTCTCCCCGCTCTTCTTCACGAGATCAAAACCGCCGGTAAATGGCAAATCAAGACTGGTTCCCTCATCGTTCTCGACCAGCTCGTCATCAGCTGCAAAGTGCAGATGGCGAAGCTCATGCCCGAGATCGTCCCCATTCTCGCTGAGGCGATTTGGGACACCAAGGCCGATGTGAAGAAGGCCGCTCGCGAGTCGCTCACGAAGGCCACCGCTCTCGTCTCCAACAAGGATATCGAACGCTTCATTCCCGCTCTTATCAAGGCTCTTATTAACCCGGTCGAGGAGGTCCCTAATACTATTCAGCTCCTCTCGGCCACCACATTCGTTTCCGAAGTTGACTCTCCTACCCTTTCGCTCATGGTTCCCCTGCTCTCTCGTGGTCTCACCGAGAAGTTGACCGCAACGAAGCGTAAGGTCGCTGTGTGAGTATTTTTCTGTCTCAGCCTTGGTGACCTCCGTGCTAAACATAGCTCACAGCATCATCGACAACATGGCCAAACTCGTCGATTCCGCTGTTACTGTCCGTCCCTTCATCCCCAAGCTCCTCCCGGGTCTCCTCAAGGTCGAGACCACGATCGGTGACCCCGAGGCTCGTAGCGTTGTTGGCCGTGCGATCGCCACCCTCCGCCAAGTTGGTGAGGTTCCCGAGGATTCCGATGGTTCGGATCTCCCTCCCTTGAAGCACATCGAGTTCCACCAGCTTGCCAAGTCCCTCGGCGAGATCTACAAGAAGGCTGGCACCGACGCTCCTTCTATCGCCGACGAGACTATCATCTACGTCGCCAACCTCGCTGCCGCTCTCTGCAACGTCAAGAACTTCGACGTTCCGGAGTGGGACACCCTCGCTCCTTACCTCGAGCTCGTTTCCAAGTCTCCGGAAGGCATCACCGTCGCCCGCGAGTGGGTCGTCAAGTCTGCTGCCGAGGATACCGATGAGGGAGAGGTTCTCGAGGACGAGGAGGAGGGCGAGGACCTTTGCAACTGCCAGTTCTCTTTGGCTTACGGTGCCAAGATTTTGCTCAACACCGCTTCCCTCCGCCTCAAGCGTGGTCACCGTTACGGTCTCTGCGGTAAGAACGGTACCGGAAAGTCCACTCTCATGCGCGCCATCACCAACGGGTTCGTCTTCCCAATACCTCATTCCCCGCGCGTGCTTTGGCTGACGCATAGAATCATCTAGCCAAGTCGAGGGCTTCCCTTCGCCTGACGAGGTCCGTACGTTCTACGTCGAGCACGATATCGATGGTTCCGAGGAAGACACTTCCGTCCTCTCCTTCATCTTGACCGACAAGCGTATCCTCGCTGACGAGAAGGAGGTCATCGAGACTCTTGCGTCCGTCGGCTTCAGCGACGAGAGGCAGAAAGACGCCATCGGCAGTCTCTCTGGTGGTTGGAAGATGAAGCTCGCTCTTGCCCGCGCTATGCTCTTCAAGGCCGACATTCTCTTGCTCGATGAGCCCACTAACCACTTGGATGTCGTCAACGTCGCCTGGCTCGAGGGTTACCTCACTTCGCTCACTCACTGCACATCCAGTACGTTGTCCGCTAACTCCATCGACGTTGCACCGTTTTTTTAACCTGTTTTCCCTCATAGTCATCGTTTCGCACGACTCCAGCTTCTTGAACAACACTATCACCGACGTTCTCCACTTGAACCGCTTCAAGCTCCGCCGCTACAGGGGTAACCTCGAGTCCTTCGTCAAGCAGGTTCCTGAGGCCAAGTCTTACTACACTCTCGAGGCCGCCGAGGACTACAAGTTCAAGCTCCCCGACCCCCCTCTGCTTGAGGGTGTCAAGACGAAGGAGAAGAGTTTGCTCAAGATGCGCAAGGTCGGCTTCCAGTACCCCTCGCAGCCCGTCCAACAGCTCTACGATATCACCCTCCAAGTCTCCCTTTCTTCCCGTGTCGCCGTCCTCGGTCCCAACGGTTCCGGCAAGTCCACCCTCGTCAAGCTCCTCACAGGAGAGATGGAGCCCAACAAGGGCGGTGAGGTCTGGAAGCACCCTAACTTGGTCATCGGTTACGTCGCTCAGCACGCGTTCCACCACATCGATAATCATCTCGACAAGACCCCGCTCGAGTACATGTTGTGGCGTTACCAGACCGGTGAGGATTTGGAGGAGATGATGAAGGCCAACCGTCAGATCACCGACGAGGAAGCGCAGAAGATGAAGGATGGTTCGATCGTCGTCGTCGAGGGTCAGAAGCGGATCATCGACGAGATCACCAACAGGAAGAAGCTGAAGCAGTCTTACGAGTACGAGATCTCCTTCAAGGGCATGTCGTCGTCCGAGAACATCTGGATGCCCCGTGACGAGCTCATCAAGCGTGGCTACGAGAAGGTTTGTGCGATCCTCTGCTCTTTCGTGGGTCCGTATCTAACTATGTGATTCCGTTTATAGAAAGTCCTCGAGGTCGACACCCGTGAGGCTCAGCGTCTCGGTCTTCTTCGTCCTCTCGTTCGTCGTGAGATCGAGCTCCACTTCGCTGACTTCGGTCTCGAGCCCGAGTTCGTCTCGCACAACACCATGCGTGGTCTTTCCGGTGGTCAGAAGGTCAAGATCGTTCTCGGTGCTGCCACATGGCGCCGCCCCCACGTCATCTGTTTGGATGAGCCCACTAGTACGTTCAATTTTCGGTATCGTCATGCCTGGCCGCCGCTAACCTATTATTATAGACTACCTCGATCGTGAGTCGCTCGCTGCCCTCATTGAGGCGCTCAAGGTCTTCGAGGGTGGTGTCCTCGTCATCACCCACAACCGCGACTTCTCCGAGTCGCTGTGCAAGGAAGTGTGGGCTATGCGTGACGGTCGTCTGGAGGCTTCGGGTCACAACTGGGTTGAGGGTCAGGGCTCAGGTCCCCGCATTGACAAGAACGACGGTCCAGAGGAGGACACTTACGATGCGATGGGTAACAAGATCGAGAACAAGAAGCAGAAGAAGATCACCGCTGCTGAGGCGCGTAAGCTCAAGAAGGAGCGTATGGCACGGAAGAAGAGGGGAGAGGAGATCACCGACGATGAGCTGTGAACTTGACGCTTGTTGACGGTTTCTGTTTCTCTCCATGTACTCTTTCCTCCTTCTGTCTTCCATATGGTCCTATGTCGCGCGTCGTGTTGTCTCTGTTACCGCATTGTATCACTGTCCCGCTGTTACTTATGCCTGTCGTCCGTCTATTTTATGTTTACGATCCACATATATTTGTTTGTCTCTCAATTTCTCGTGTGCTCTTGCGCGAACAAATTAGACCAATAAGTTACAACCGCGAACAGCAGCAAATTCGAGTCTACGAAGGATCGTCAACCCTCTGAGCCCATTGAGCAAAAAGCCTTGCTTGGCGAAAGGTCTTCCGAGCGAAGTCCGCAGCCTGGACACAGCGCTGGAACACAGCCTGTCTGGGCGCGACCGTCTTTATAACTCGCACCACATCCTCCACGACTGCGTACGCCTCCCAACCCCATCTTGACTTCGACCACGCATATTCCTTGTACACGCTCGTCTTTGAAACTATTCGATGATTGCATACGACCCGAGCCACGCCTCCACAGCGATCTACTCGCGAGATGCCGCATCTTCACTTACGCCTAACGAGACGCAGCGGAATACGTTGATTGTTGCGGGGTGTTATATCATCGCGATCGCGATTCTTTGGTGCGTATATTCTGCTCTTTGCTAGCAGGGAACCAACATTGATAAATGCCTGTCGAACATGCAGGCATGTTCCGTACTTGAATTTCATCAGTGAGTTGCCCTGTCGAACTGTCGAACGCTTGAACTCTTGCTCACTATTCGGCGACGACGTGAAGTCTACCCCTTCAAGTGAGTACTGCGCATTCTGCCTGTTTTTTGTAAAATTGACAGCATTATTTGCTAAAGGCTGCTCACGGTCGGTTTCCATGAAGTACGCTTCCCCTTCCCCTGTACCCTCGACGCGTTGGACGCTTCCTAATCGAGCTGCACCTCTAGATGAGCCATGCCTTCATGGGCGTCCTCACATGTGCCCACATACACTCCATAGAACTGGATCGTACGTTCCCTTTTGTCTGTTGTTCGCGTCTAGTTCATGGGTTGGATGCTTACCGTGGGCTGAATTGACTTGTGCAGCGGACGAAGGCGGCGCCACACGTACATTTGCTCTCCCGTTCCCCCGTCCGATGTCCTTGCTGACTTTCTTCTGATTTCTAGGCATGTCGGGTGGTATACCCTGGCTGACACTACCCGCTGGCTATCTGGGCTCATCCTTGATCGGTGCAATGTACGCTGTCTTTCGATCCGGTTCCTTCTTTTTGTCTGTCTTTATTCATCTACGGACGAGTATCTGACCTCTTTTGTGTACGCTTTCTAATTCAGCCTCGTCGCCTGCGGCTTTGATACGAACGCCTCGAAAATAGCCAGCTTAGTGGTCGCCGTATTCTTCTTGTTTACTCTATGGTGGGCGAGGCGGAATTGGCTGTGAGTACTGCCTATTGCTCTCCCGTTCTACCAGGCCCCGCTGTTCAGGGTACTAATACAACACATCTTCCTCTGAAAATCAGGACATGGGTTCTGATCCTGGGTATGAGCGGCCTGATCGTGCTCTTCTGGTTCGTGGGAGGTGGTGTGGCGCTCAGATACTTGATCCTCTTCATCGGCGTCATGTCGTGCCTCTATGTTCTCTGGGACGTGATTGGTGCGTACTTTATATTTCCTCCTCCGTCTACTCTCTTATATATGAATCTTGTCACAGATGATACCATCGCCCGCAAGGTCAACACGTCCGATGCCTCAGCATTCGCTGAGATCTGTGGCTGCTGTCCGTCGCAAGGTAAGCGCATCTTCTACATAATTTTGAAGTATCAAACACCTGAGATTGACTTCATGTAATACTAGTCTGGGGTGTCATTTGGCTCGTCATCGCCTTTGTCTTCTTCGCATGCGGCATCCTCGTCGGACTTGCAGCTTTCAAGGTAAACCTATGCTTGCATACACCCCTACCGACTCAGTCGCTGATTTACGTTCGTTTTACGCCCAGGAATCTGCGGAACAGCAAGCGCAAGATTCAAAAGATTTCCTACCCGTACCGGGATCCGGAGCCCTCGCCACGACACCATCCTTCGCCCTGCTCGCCCTCGTCGGGATTCCATTCCTTGCATTACTGTAATCCGTGATATCCTGTGCGACGTGTACTTCTATACCTATCTCTTCACATTCTGTATCATTTGTTCAACCCTACTTTCTTGTGTTTTTCCTCCTTGGTTTTCACGTACTTACTACTTACCCTACCGTGTCGTTGTTTCGTCACGGTGTAGCATGGGGGATTACGAAAACGTGTTGTTGGACTATGTCGGTTGATACCTAAGTAATGACCCCTTTATCACTACTAATGGACTCGATTATGAAGTGCACTTACAGTCTGTATGGGCCGGTGTATCGTGTTCCTCGCTAATTATACGAGAGCTGCATTGAAGCAAGGTGGCATCTGAGAACTATTTCCGGCACGATCGGCGATCACTTTGAACAGGAGTGTGGCAGAACTCACGGACATACTTACACACATCTTCAAAGCCTTGTGCCTAGCTTGCTCGGGGGCGGTATGGTCATGACATTCAAGTTACTTCAAGGGCTCTTGACTTGGTCGCTCTGAGCTCCGGAAATATCCGTCTAATTGGCATGCAACTTCTGGAGAACTCTTCTGGCTCGGGTTCGTGAACATCCGTTCCTTCTAACGCACGCATCTGGTCTCTAACCGCTCTGTCTGGTCTGTACTGGCTGTTGCGTGCTGAGCACGGACTAGGCGGGAGCTTACCTGCTTGCAAGAGGCAGAATAATTGTCGCCACATACTAGTAGCACCCAATTGAGTACATAATTCACCCATGGTATGGTACAAGACGAGGATGGTATAGACGCTAATGAAACTTATCATCTTCTCTCCCGACCACCAGGGTGAATAACTTGGCATGTGCACAATCGACGGCGATGTCTCCTCCTTGCCACGCACCCAACCCTTCCTCCCACCGGAGATCTGGTACAGATGCTTTGAATTGGCCACATACGTGCCCACATCTTTGAACATCTCTATCCAAGACCCCTTCGACCCTTCTCTGCCTCCTTCCGAGTACCACTTCCCTTCCACGGACGTCGTCGTTCAGCAGACCGAGCTCCGAAAGTCTCTCCCCATCAGGCGTTCCCTCGTCCTCGTCTGCAAGACATGGAACTCCATCGCCACTCGCCTCCTCTACCGCTCTCTCTTCATCGACCGCACGAACGACCTCTCTCCTCTCCGCTCCACCCTTCTTGCCTCCCAACAAAATGTTCTTTCCGCCGGGCTCGGAATCGAACATTCTCTCGGTTCCTGCACTCGTAGAGTCGACATTGTTCTCCCTTCCCTGTGCGATAACGACGGTGCGATGAAGATCCTGCTCGAACCCTTGGCTGATATCTTCTCCTGCCTACCCTCCCTGCGTTCGCTCTTCATCCTCGCATGTGCGGGTCGTGCGCTTCGCGTCATGCCGGACTCTATCATCAATGCCATCGCCGATACGTGTTCCGGAACGCTGCAGAGGATATGCTGGGACTCGGAGAGCACGGTTCTTCCGATGAGAGAGACGTATAGAAGTCTCTTGAGGAGATCGAAGAGGTTGAAGACGATCGACAATGGGCTATACGCTTGGGCAGCGTCGTGTCCTCTGTCGATGGGTGGCCCGCAGACAGAAGAAGGGACGCTGCAGGAGTTGGATTGTCTGGCTTTAGAGCCATGGTTCAACTGCAACTATGAGCCCACGCTAGAGCATGACTCCTTGTCCAGCATACCGCCCCCTTATCCCAATCTACGTAAGGTGCGCTCCATGTAGTTCAGCAGTGGCCTCTGATATCGTACTCACCCTACGCTTCTGTGGCGCCTTTTCGTGCGCCAACAGATCATCCTCCGAGTCTCAACAGTCCTCACACACCACTGTCTCTCCCACTCCCTCGCAATCCAAGGACCCATCATAACCACCGCCTACATCCACCTCACAAACCCACAAGCCCTGCCACCAACACTCGTCCTCCTCTCCACCCACTGCCCTAACCTCAGACACCTCATCATCCAGCTCCCTCGCACGCTCGAATATCTCCCGCCTTTCTCCGTACCCAAGACTGTCACGCATCTAGGCATATATATCGATGGGTCGGCGTCGACTATTGGGTTTTCACAGGTATTTAACCGGCTGGCGGGTACAGACAGGAGCGGGGGTGAGGGTGCGAACGCGACAGAGGTTTCGACGGGCTTGGTGGTGAGGTTCTTCAACTCCGAGTCGCTGGGCTTTTCCAGAATGCGGAGGTACCATGGACCGTTATTGGCGGAGGGCGTGAACCGGTTGCAGGCGAAGGGCTGGATCGTTCAGGATTGGGAGGGGAAGGCATTAGAAGTTGGCTTGGGTAGTAATTGGTTCAGAGAAATGGGCCTATCAACTTAGAATTAGATGTTCGTGTATCTCTGAGCAGTGCGAGCTTTTTGTTCTGAACCCACGGGGCAAAGAAACAGTTTAATTTGATGTTAATATGCAATTGCCAACAAGTTTACCTAATAGAAGGGAGCCAATGCTGCTACCCAACGTTGTATGAAGAGAAAAAGGAAGGAAACATGTAGTGAATCGTATTGTACGAATATCGTTAAGTAATTGCGGTTGAGGACGGGTGGATAATGTTAGGACAGTAACAGTGACAAAGGAGAATCATGCATGGTGTACGGAGGGGGACAAACATAGGGGTGACAGAGCGAGAAGAGGGGATGATGTGGAATGGGGGGCGACAAAGAACAATAGAATGAGGTAAAGGTAACGCGCGACATAGGCAAGTAGTCCAAGAATAACCGAACGATGTCCAAAGTGCCATGCGCCCTCAACCCCGAAAGTTTTAAGCGCTCTGTATGGTTGCTCAACTGAGCTGGGATATATAGAGGCGAAGGACATGATACAAGGATCGATGCCGCGAAGGGGTGAAGAGCGATGGAGAAGAACACGGTGTCAGACAGCGATCAGGGCTTGCGGAACTCGACAAGCACAGTGTAGATCGTGTTGAACGCGGTGTAGATCTCTTCTCGGACCTGAGGCCGAGGTGAAGATGAAGAGGTCAGTAATATGTTCTGTGCGATAGAAAACGTTCAACTGTGCGGGCTATCCTGGCACAAAGCTCAGGAATGCGGACGCAGACGAAGAACATGGACAAAAGGATGAAGGGCAATTGTTCACCTTTGCACCGGTGAGCACAATTTTACCCGAAACAAAGATGAGCAAGACGACCTTTGGCTTGATCATGCGGTAAATGAGACCAGGGAACAACTGCGGAAGAAGGTGAGTACAATAGAGGACGGGAAAGTGACAAAAGCACGTACCTCAGGTTCATAACTGCTGAATTGCCCGTGACTGTATGCCAGACCCTCAAGGCGAATGGGGAACTTGACGTCACAAGAACCGACGATGTTCTGGATCTTGAACTCGGAGAACTTGGCGTCGAACCCGAGCTTTTGCACGATCCTCGCGTACTTGCGGGAAGCGAGACGCGAGTCGTCCTCAGACTTCGCGCCCGTGACAACCATCTTGCCCGATGCGAAGATTAGAGCGGTCGTCTTTGGGTCGCGAATACGCATGATGACGGCGGCGAAACGCTAAACGCGAAGAACGAGGGTAGCAGCATATTCATGCAGCTAGGTTGAGTCAAATAGGATAAATACCAACCTTGGGATTATACTCCGCATTCCTGGCATGAAGGGCGATCGTCTTCAAATCGAGTCGGCAGTCGAGGTTGACGGTGGCCACAATGTTCTGCAGCGTAGGAACGATGCCCTCGACGGCAGTGATGTGCTGCTGCTCGAGAGTGAGGGGTGCTGGGGTGGCGGGAACAGCAGCCGGCGTAGAAGGGCCAGCGATGGCATTCTGCTGACTGTTGGGATAGGTTGGGGGAGAGTGCGAGCTCGTTTGACCAGCGAGGGTGGACTGGAATGCGGGAACTGATGAGGGCGCAGGACCTGGTAGAGCAAGAGGTCCGGCATTGTATGTGGCGGGCCCGGAGGGGAGGGCAAGGCCATGCGCGGGCGCGTTTTGCTGAGCCTGCTGTTGTTGCTGTTGCTGTTGCTGCTGCTGCTGCGAGGGAGGAACCCATTGAGAGCGACCACCAAAGGTGACTTGACGAGCGGGCAACGCGAAAGACATGACGTATAAAAGAGTTTATTGGATGGACGGAGAGGTGAACGGCAGTGGCAACGATGAGAGCGAGATTTTTGAGGCGTGGGAAAATGTTGTGGCGGGAGAGCGGGGGAAATGGACTCGCATGCGGGCGCGAGCTGGTCTCATATATACCTGAGCAATTCAAACTCCGCCTATCACTCTAGGCCTGAACTCTAAATCCACTCTTTCTCCCGCTTCCATATCATCGTTGCTTTCTCCCCTCCTCCCTCTGTCCTGTGCCCGTTCTCTCGTCCATTCTTTCTCGAGCAGCCTCTAAATGACCTCCGATATATACTCCTGCACTTTGCACGAGAATCGTGCAGAGAAATTGTCGGTAATTGGTTAAATTCTTCGTATCGTTCCTGTCTTGGGCGCTTATGCAATCGGATATGTCTTGCGCCGGACCCTCCCGAGCCAATACGAAGCCTTGCTGCCACGTCATCTGAACACGCCATATGAGCTCATGCTGGCTTTCTTCACCTCTCTCCTTTCTGCTCACAACGCTTGCTTTTGTTTCCATTCTCAGTGACACCTGCTCAGTCTTGTACTCATGAGCTGCGCCTTGTAGCTTCATTGTGAACTCGTCTTCTTTACACTACCTCTTTGGACCGCTCGTTTCACATCTTATCTCCCTCTATCGAAGCGCCATCAAAATTCTTCGCCTTCCATCCCATGCTAACATCTTCAGCGCGGAACTCGTGATATCTGGATGCAGAACTCGAAGATTCTCGAACCGCAGGCGTCGGTGGTCCTGGCAACACAATTGATTTGTGTTCTCTCGTTCTCATCTGTTCTTTCTGAAACAAGATGGCGCGGGTCCGGAGTGGCTTTCCTCTTACTGGTCTCATTCCAGTCTTCCGAATGCAGCAGCTACTGGGAAACATCTGCTTCTGATCAGGCGATGTATGAACACCATCAGTACTTTTCAATCAACATCAGGATCACAAACACGATGCCATCTTCCCGAGAGGCCCACACTCTGTGGCACGATTGCGTTGACCTCCAGTTCGCGTTTGTGGCGGCAGCGCCTCTATTGTACCCCAGCTGTATCCTACTTCGCAAGGCTCCCTACAACTGTCGCAAATTGTATGCATCGCGTTGTTGTTGTCCGTGTGTATAGCTTATTCCATCTCCAAATTATTTAATTAAAACAAATATTTCTCACTTGCGCGCTTTCCGTACCCACTTCAGCTCTGCAGGAAGTGTAGGGTTCGATCTACTTGTGAAAATACAGTGATGGATACAACAACAAACATGTTTCCAAGTGCCCTCTTGTTCGTCTGACCGTCTAGAGTTTGACGGCGTACGTGAAACCGTCGTAACCCTTCTCTCCGACAGTACCCAGCGTAGTCGCATCAACGTCCTTATCGTCCTTCAAGTACTCCAATAGCTTCCGTACCCCCTCCACGTTGGGATCACTATACGACGGGACACTAACCAATCCGTTCCTCACGACATTGTCCAGGACCTACATAACAAACTTCAGTCAGCTAAACCCGAGACAACACAACATAGACATTATGAGACTCACAATCACACCACCCTTCTTGACTAGTCGTTTGGCTTCGATGTAGTACGGGAGCAGGCTAGGCTTGTCCGCGTCAACGAAGACAAAGTCGAACGGTGGCGAGGGCTGCAGATTGGCCAGCGTTTCCTTTGCGGGCCCCACAATGATCTTCACTTTCGACGCAACGCCAGCGTTCTCGACGTTCGCTTGCGCTACCTGAGCATGTTCCGGTTTGAGCTCGCAGGTCACTAACTCTCCGCCCTCGGGGAGGGCGCGGGCGAGCCATATCGTAGAGTACCTATAGCACACCGTGACAGCAGACCACATCCATCAGATATTATTTATGTTGATTCGGACTGTAACATGGGAGGATCAGAGAAACGCACCCTCCGAGCGTTCCAACCTCCAAGATCCTCTTCGCTCCAAGTGATTGTGCCAACAGCTTCAGAAACTTCCCCTGCGCGGCACTGACCGCGATATCCGGCAACCCCTTCTCTGCACTCTTTGCCCGAGCATGAGCCAGAGTCTCGTCAGGCGCGATCAGGAAGGAGTTGTGGTACTGGTCGGAACGGGTCCAGTCTTCGATGGTCGTGGGCGGTTGGTGGCTTGTGCTAGGTCCGGTCCTGGTGGCACCGGTTTGAGTAGACATCTTTGAGATCAAGTATTTCCTGGCTAAGGACGGTGAGGATAGACTGATTCGAGGCTTGTTGTGAAGAGTACGAGGCAGACGCATGAGCCTGAGCCTGAGCCTGAGCCAAAGCGAGTGGCTATGATGCTTGCGATAACGCAATGCTCACGAGCACTGTGCAGCTGACGTCCACATATATATCGTCATATCTACCCAATGACCTTTCACAGAACGAAAACATAGACAAATGCGAGGACTCCAAGTATTTCGGCAACAACCACAACGAGAGCTCGTAGACTCGGAAGATAGCCGTGAACACGAGCAGTGATGGTTAACGGGATCAAGTTTAGATGTCTTGGCACTGGGCGATCCGCCTCCGACACATCGCTTCCCTGCAGCTGTCGTTCTCGCGAATCTCTTTCGTCTACCCAATATAGACCGTCTTTGTTCATTCCTTCTGGCCTTCAACCAGGTCGCATTTAGAAGCATCGCTGATCAGGAGAGGAAGAAAGGAGGGACTCGGGATTCTTCAGGATCTTCATTGACATGCAAGACGGGTGCGCTCCGTCCATTCTTTCTGCCCTTTGTCTTGCTCACGTTCAGTTCTCTAGACCTGCGAAGCATAAACCTGCATAAACTCTGGAAAATGTACCTAATTCTATGCGATGCGTATTTGTCTATTATCATACACGCGGAATCCAGCTGGCTCGACATGTTCTTTGAATGCGCGCTTCAGGCGGCCTCGACCTTTCAGGCTGCACTCACCCCACTTCTTTGAACTGCCCTTGCTACCGTCGACAAGGATGGCCTCTTTTTGACCCTGCTTTTATGCCTGGACCTGAAGCAATACTCTCGTAATCTTGACTGGACGACCTACCAGAAGATCTCATCGCCGAGGAGTTGCCTAACGCCACACCAGATGTACTTGTCATTCTGTGGCTCTTCCGTGATACGACATCCCTTCATTTACTACAGTTGACATGCGCCTCCTCGACGTCAACCCTGTGGACTCATCTCCGCTCGGTTTGCTCTTCTTCATCCCAGTGCTTGTACGCATCACATAGGCCTGCTATGCCTCAGACAGCTCCGCCAGCTGAGCGCTTCGTCGCCTGGAAAGGAACACGACCTGCTGATCAGGTCGTTCACGCTCTGAGTTCGTGACCACCCGCTGTCTTCTAAGACCACGATGCAATTGATCATGAGTCCAACACGTCTCGGGGCGGGCGGGCTAGGGTTTCACCTCTGTCGCGTCCCACCTGATTGTGTCCTACTTATATCCCTCGGGCACCTTGCAAGTGCATCTCTTCCTTCTCTCCACCACCATTAACACGTCATGCTTCTGCCTGCATATGCGTTTCCACTGGCCTTTGCAATACTGTCAAAGCCTTCGTTCGCGACATCATCGAACCCGAACCTCCCATCCGAACTCTTCTCTCCTCTCATCGCCCAGAAGCTTCTCGCCACAGGCACGAACCTCACCACGTCCACATCTGGAATACCGACCGTCTATCCACAATATACTACTCGCGACACGGGAAAATGGGTGTACTTCGCGGCAGACGGGTGGACGTCTGGATTCCTGCCCGCCACGTTTTACGCGTTGCATGAGAGGGCCGGGTTGTGTCAGTCTCAGAACGCAGGAGACGATGGAAATGGGACGGAGTGGTTGGAGTTGGGGAGGACATGGGCGACGGGCGAGGTGCCGAGTGAGACAAAAACGGGTGTTGGGCATGATGTAGGGTTTTTGAGTTTTCCGTTCGTGGAGGAGCTGAAGGTGTAAGTCTCGTCTCTTTGTTTTCTTCGTGTCTGGTGTGGCTGCTGATGCACGGTTATGTAGCAACCCACAGAATCAGTCCGCTGTAGACGCGATCAATAAGTTCGCCGCTCACCTTGCGGGAAGATTCAGTCCAATTGTGGGCTGCACGAGAAGTTGGGACTCGACGGACCCGACTGATTTCCAAGTCATTATCGATAACATGATGAACCTGGAGGTGCGTCACTACATGCTGCTTGTATTTTACCTGCCCATGAACCCTCACTGACGATATTTCTTTTTGATTTACTAGGTTCTATTCAATTCTGCGAACTTGACTGGGAACACTACACTAGTCGATATCGCCATTTCGCATGCAGATAAGACGATGGTCAACCACGTTAGGGCCGATGGTACGTTCTCCAACATACCCATTCGAATAACCACACCATTTTGCTGACCGGCTCGCGCTCTAATTGCAGGCTCTTCGTTCCATGTTGTCGACTACAATTCAACCACAGGTGCCGTCATCGATCAACGTACCTCCCAAGGTTACTCGAACTCTAGTACCTGGAGTCGAGGGCAAGCATGGGGTATCTACGGATTCGCCAACAGTTCGTCTCGTCTTGCTTGTAACCCACGCCACACGCCGCACTGATGATCTCCCCGTTGACGCACGTACAGTGCACAATAACACAGATCTTTCACGCTATCTGGATACTTCTCGCCGTATGGCGAAGTACTTCATCGATCATATCCCAGACGACGGGGTCATTCCTTGGTACGCCTTGCAGTTTCTCTTTCTCTTTCACCCGTAACTCATCGTCCGTGTCTTTCAGGGATTTTGATGCACCTTTGACCCCTCCACGTCCCGCCGATACCTCAGCAGCTATGATCGCAACAAACGGTCTCTTACTTCTCGCTCAACAAGAGGCTAATCTCTCCCCAGCCAACACCTCGGGTGCGAACTACTACATCAACGTGGCCGCGCAGGTACGCGCACTCTCCGCTCATCACACCTTCAAGTGTTGACCTTAGCCCCTCGGGTCTCACAGATCCTTAGTAACACCACGGCGGCGTTCTGGAAGCCTGAATGGGAGAGTTTGCTGTCGAACGGGACCGTCAACAACCCTGCTAGCCCACCGAACAACCTCACGGGTATCATCTACGGTGTGTTTGCAGGACCACTTCAAGGGAATCGGTGCTGACCGTCGTTATGCTATCATAGGCGATTATTATCTTGTGGAGGCGGGGAATACACTTGTGAAGATGGGGTTGGCGGGCTGCTGAGGTGCTTTGCGCTCAGGACAAAGTCGCTGTTTTTATGAAGGAACAGACATGATTTCATAAATTAGTATTCACTCGAGCGTCCCATCCGCCCACTTCGCTTTGTCCTGGATCCCGAGACCATTCGGTTTCTTCGGTTTCATGATATTAAGCGTCGAAAGGGCACAGAAATGTTGCGGAAGACGAGATCGAATGCGCAGACATAAGGATCCTGCTCGACGACCAGCCACTGATCCTTTGTAAAATAAACCTGAGGTGATGAACGAGGTAAAAATGTGAACTTTGCGGCAACAGATATGAGCGTCAATGGCCTCCGCTCTATCGGTGTTTTAGAAAAAGGGTAGCTTCGTAACGTAGGAATCGGTGAAAGAAAATGTCGATCCGCGCGATGGGCCACATTCTTTGGGGCCGGTGCCACTCGGCGACGAGGGGTGACGCGCCTTTTCGGCAGAGGTCCGGCAAACGGCCGGCATGACGAGTTCAAGCCAAGCAGTGCCACTTGCTTAGAGACTGTGGGGACTTCGACTTCGCAACACCCTTGACCAGTAACCCTCACCTCACCTCTGCCTCACCTCACCTCTGCAGCACCTCTAGACTAGCTCAGACAAATCAATACTCTTGTCAGTCTCCTGTAGCTGACTATCCACGATGCCGCTTGCATCGTCGGGACCCTTGCTGTCCGCAGGGCGGCAGGCGTCCCACATCCTCTCACACGGAGGAGCAACGAATCTAGCACCCTCAACGAAACACCAGGCTCGAAACATACACATCCCCCGCTCCGCACCCACACAACCCTCATCCACTGCTCAGCGTCTGCTCAAGTCGACCAGAGGCCTCTTCCAAGCCTTCGTTGGCCACTTGACCGCCCCTGGCACTCTCAATGGCCGCATCCCACCTTCTGCAGCCCGTGGCCTACATGGCTTCGTCAGACCTCAGACTATCCAGCAAAGCTGGTCTCCCGGAATGCGACATGCCCTTTCTCGCCCGATGGGGACACCTAAACTACCCAAAGCTCCAGTCGTCCCAAGAGGTATCAGCCAGGTTGGACTCGGCACTGCGAGAAACTTCTCCACCGGCCGACCTATCTTCCAGAACTTGGTTCAGAATGTTCCCATCGCAAGCCGAGCTGCGTACGAAGTTGATTGGGACATCGGAGAGAAGATGAAGGAGGAGAGGAAATTGGCCATGGGCAAGGAGCAGAAGAAGGCCCGCAAGACCAAGGTTGCGAAGGCTGAGAAGGTTCACTTCCACGACGCCGCCGCCTCCGTTGCTTCCTCTGCTCAAGAGCAGACCGAGGAGGAGCTCAACCGCTACTTCCCTGCTGCACCCATTGCCGCCGTCTCTACCCAGCTCCTTATTCCTCTCGCTCCCACTCCTACTTCCCGCCTCCCTCTTTCGGCCAACCCTCCAAGCATGTCTACCAAGCATCCGCTCTTACCCCTTAATGTCCTCGGGGACCTTCACGCGAATCATAACATGCACTCGCTCCGTGTATCAACTCTCTTCGGACGACTTGATGTTGCGAACGTTTGGGGTCGTGGTGCGATCTGCGACGTCTACGGCTCTTATCGAGGCGAAGCCAGTGTTCTTCGTGTTCGCTTCGAAGGCTGGACGGAGAATGAAGTGCGTGCGGTTATAGGCGAGAGTGGCAAGGGCTGGTGTGTACTGGAGGAAGAGAGATCGGCTGAGGATGACGAGAAGGAGATGAAGGAAGTCGAGGATGCGTTGAGCGCCATGGACCTGGAGAGCGGAAATATGAGTGTCAGCGATTTTGGCAGGAATCCGTTCGAGGACGACGGCCATTCCACTTCCTCCGTCGACCCGGCTCGATCTTTCGTTCTTCCGACCCTCGACTTCTCTTCCTCCTTCCCTATGGCATCGCAGTCGCCCTCCCAGCACGTCTCGCCCATTCGCTCACCTTCCTCCGAAGATAGCATGGACTTCCTCTCCGATTCCGACTCGTTCTCTGATTTCGGATCTTTCAGCGAGGGAAGTGTTGAATACGGAATAGGAGGCGAGGGAGGTTCTTTCATCGAGCCTCCTTCGGTGTCACTCTCTCGTATGGCCAGTAGCAATTGGATGGGATTCAGCTCATCATTCTCGGAGAGGCTCGGCGACGAAGGTCCTCGGGAGGAGATGTTCTGAGCTAGACATCCCTTTGTTACCTTCATGATACTTTGTGTTTCAAGCTTCAGTTCTGTCTGACGGTCCTTGAAACCGCGTTCACCCTCGTTATTGTCTGGTTTTCTCTCTCTTCGTCCCTTGACTAGCCTGTTCTTTTTATGTAGTTCGATGAAAGTATATGTCAATTTCTCTTTTGTATGTGGAGCTAGTACAAATCGTACCTGGATACAGCCATGATAGTACCAAGAGACGAGCAGTGAGAGCGCCACAATTTGTTATCGGTACGCATGTTCGCGCTGAAGGCAAGACATTTGAGAACCAAGAAATGCAGCCGTGAATAGAATTCTGGGTATATGTACACAGGGCCACGTCCATGCAAATTAGAGACATCTATACGTACGATGAATATCAGCAGAAGTAAGATTATATTGAAGACTATTGCTCACTAGGTATCTCGACCGGAAGGTGGCCGGGTAGCATTAGTTGGCGGTGGGACAGAGGCAGAGGCCTTGGTCGTATCTTCAATGGGCCACTCCGTCTCAGAAAGCTCTATCCCGAAACACTGAGGCAGCTTCATCCACATTTGCGCTCGAAGATCCTCATATCGCCGTCGAACGAGGGCTTCACAAGCCTGACAGGCCGCAAGAGATTTTATCGCGTCCCAATGCCAATAAAAGATATCGGGACTGGTGAACCATCTTATGCGAGCGGCATGCATCAGCAGCCCATGCAATGCGGATCCACAGAACGTCGGCCGTTTACATTCTGGGCTTAAAGCGCCGTCGAACACGGTAAAGAGGAATTTGTGATGGAGGTCGAGGAGGGCGGGTCTGCCTTCATAGCACCGGGCGATCAGCGATGGATCGTCGCGAGTGATACCGCGACCGTAAGTCTGAGAGGCTTTGTCGATGATGGACCGGAGGGAGGATGGTTGCTCGAGGCAGCAGTAGTAGAGCGCGAGAGGGAGTATATAGGGCAGGTCGTGCGTCAAAGCTAAGAAGGCGACCATTGGAGCCTCTGGGACAGTCGGGGCTTCTATCGGAAGTACGAAGGAAGCAGAATTGGCAAGGTCGAAGTTGCGAAGAGTACTTGGATAGCATATAGCCAGTCGACGAATGGCATCGTCGCGCAGACGGTCGACTTTGTATTTTGTGCCCATTCGAAGCCAGGCAGAGACGAGCGTGAAGCTGACTTGTTCTGGAGCTGTACATCTGGACACCATAGAGCCATAAGGTGTGGGAGTCGTGGAGAATGAGAGATAGACGCGAACGTACTCAGCATCGTATAAACTGAGGAGAAGCTGCTCGATGTCCGCAGGGTCATCGTCCAGATGTATGTATCGCAGGTCCTTCTCCCCTGGCGTTGGAGCCTCTTCAGATATGGGAACTGCCTGAGAAAGAACGACCAATGCTTTCAGGACTGAAGACTGGTCGCATAATGTGGCTTGGTGAACACGGAAGAGCATAGAACTCAGGATCACAATGACGGTGCCGTCTTCGTGCCACAACTTTTGATTACACTGCGGAAGAGGTAGTTCTTCGACATTTACGACTTCGGTCTTGACGCGAGCATCTATGAGCATAGGCTCAACTGATGAAGCGGTCTTGTCGTTCTGTTGAGGGGCTATGGGCATCTCAACCATTTATCCTGTATCGCATATATTCAGAGTCCACGGACGGCGTAAAAAAGGTATAAGCTTAAACAACCTACCACAACGGTTCTAATTCAAAGTCTGGGCCGGACGAAAGGGGTCTAATATGTTGTCTCAGACGTCGAAACACAGCTTGTAGTACTTATTCCACCGTTATGTTGACGGGCCTGACGCCACACGATTTCTCGAGCGCTGCCTACTTCACAGAATATGGTTCTAAAGAAAATACGCATCCATAAGACAAGCTGCCCGAAGTTATAGATGCTTGCGCAACCTCGTAACAAAGAGAGAGAAAACCTACCTTTCTCGCTTGTCCGTGAACAGCACGCCAATCGGCGACCGCTGGTTCTTCCTACTAGCCGTTTAGGGGAGAGGTCGACGCGTTCGAGCCCGTGCGAAGATCTCAGGAAGCTCTGTGAGGAATAATGCGGCTTAAATGGGGTAAATTTCTTCACGATGGGGACGTGCTCAACGACGTGTCGAGGCGGTGGTGAACGCAGGGAAAGACGCGTCCGCCGCGGACGGTCATTGTTCTCGACGCGACGCGACTTCGGGAAAGGCCGGAATCAACTTGGTTGAAACACCGTCATTGTGGCGAGTGGCGACATCTGGATTGCATCCACAAAACGGTACCGCTAGCAGTACGTTATGTACCACTCCCTGTGGGGAGATTTCCACGTAAGCAGAACTGGTCTCAGTGACTCTTGTTGATAGTCCTGACCATATTCTTCTTCCTTCTTCTCGATGACTGCTCTCCGAATCGTTCGCCAGTCGATTGACCCTCAGGCTCTAGACAGGTTTTCGACACTTAGGCTGTTCTCGTATGTGTGCTTCAGTCTTTTGACAGCCGTCTCTCCCGTTCTCCCTCCCATATCTTTCGCTATTCGTTCTTATTCAAGTTATCCTGTTGCTTTCACTCGTAGGTCTGCAATCGAGGACGAGGACCGAAATATCGAGTACAAACAGAGTCCTTTCGCTTCCATTGGAAGTTTTCTTGAGCTCGTATTACAACACGCAGGCCATTCCAACTGCAGGAACATAATGCCGACCCTCCACCTTTTAATGTACTGTTGTAACATCATGCAGGGAGTACTTACACGACAATATACACTCTCAAACTGTGACCACTATGATCAGAGATAAAACAAAGTCTTTACACATTTTAGATCCGCCACGCAGTCTGGGTCCGGGCCACACAAACCACAATACTTATAGCAATGTACATTTCCCAACCACGGCCTACGAAAATTGTCTCGGTATGCGAAGGGCAGACTCTTGCTACCCCAGCCATAACTCTGTGTCTGCGTATGGACCACCATAGACCGTTCCGTCGGTGGATCCACTGAAACATTCTACGTCGACCTATACCGATAAAAATGCATCGCTCTTCATTACAATGGCGGAACGGCCGGACTCACGGCTCCACGCCCAGCGTGCGCGACACAGCACGGAACAAGAACTGCATGATCATAAATCATAGGGTCTACATTCCCTCTGGCACGGACCTCGAGTTCAGTGGTTGACTTCGGAGGGGATCTGCTCGAAGAGCAAATCACACTGCGCTATAGGGCAGGGCATTAAGAACGCAGCTAAGTATGTCAACGGTCGCAGAATACTGGATCTCGAAGCGTGTCAATCCGATTGCTGCCAGCACGGGCTCGAGTGTGGACTTGCACTGGCGAAATATGCATTCACATCTTCACACCATGCACGAATGAATGAAAGCGGCGTGTTACGAGTCTGTGTGAAGCGATCTCGCTTGGCACGATCGAAGGACTCACCAACATTGAGAGAACCGGAGAGCCGTACTTAGCGAGCGCCGTGTTCCATGGCAGAGCATGCCACCTGCTATGCAGATCTGTGGCTAGTAAGCGAGCCTGGAGAGCAAATGGGCAGGTTTTCGGCGCGGAGTCAAGGAATGCAACCTGTTATTGTTTCCTGCGGGGATGAATCAGCTTGAGACCCCCACGCACTCGTGGCATACTATAGTGGAAGTAGAGGGATGCAGTGACTGGCGGTGCTTACAGGGAACCAGAAATTTCGCGGTCGCGGTGCGAGTTGCATGGAAAGTGGAGCTAGATCGCGAGCCTCGAGTATCTCAGGATTGGTGGTCAACGCTCTCTCCTGAAGCATGCAAGCGAGTCAAGGGCCCGAGGCGAATCGGAGTCGACTTTGACCCAACGAGAGGACCACGCATCGAAGGCTCAGAAGTCAACAACTCGACGCTCACTGCTCAGCTTCGAATCAACCACCACTGGCAATCGATCGCAGTGGCAGTGGCGCAAAGTCCGTGTCCGTGTCGACCTGAACGTCGGAAATGAATTCGAAGCTCACACTATCCGTGACTCGAGAAGAGCTAAGATTGGGCGAGATAGAGCTGTGAGTGTAACATGCCTGTTGTGTTTCATATGCCAGTTACTGTAGAAGGTAGAAGAGGCGAGTGAGTGAAAAGGAAGTGTCTTGACCTTCTCTCCGTGCCATAGCAGGCCATAGCCTAAACAACGTGTCGCCTTCCGCACCCGAAATTGCGGTCATGTATGCTCGAACGGCGTCGTACAGCTCGAAGTGGGAAGGGGTAGTTCGTGTTGGCCATGGGTACTTGTGCGTGATATACGCCATGGCAGCTGCAACGATCATCTATGAAATCTCTGGAACAGGGCCGACTCGAGTTCTCCAAGTGGGTATCTTATCCAAAGATGAGAGAGATTTTGGGAGAAAGAAGTCGACAAGAGCACAATCAACTCACAATCTTCGACGGGGCCGGAAGCAAAATTGAACCGGGCTCAGATATGACGGTCACTTGACACGGTTGGAATTCCACATCCGGCGCGAGGACGTGTGGAGCTTCAAGGTCAGGTTGGAATCGGGAAGCAAAGTCGTACTGGACCTAGTGTGGGGTAAGTGTGGGGTAAGTCATTTGAGGATCGAACGAACGGAACGGAAGCAAAACGAGATGATAGTCGGCGTATGTACTGGTTTGGGGACCGTCGGAGCCAACCTGATCTTGGGACACTCCACACTCGGACACTGTACTAATAGCATGTTAGTTGATGAACATACAAAGTACCCGAACCACGAAAACGGGCGAAATGCTCACATACGAGGTCACCAGCTCAACTTGTTGGTGGCGCCACCTACGCCACTACGCCACTTGCAACCCGGTCTCCCTGACTTACTCCTTCGAGGCTTTCTGGAAGTTAGTTGAAAAGGTGCTTGGACCGAAAAGGCATAGCTCACCACGCCAGCTCACGACGACGTCACACGAGGACAAAGCAATGCGTCTCGAGACTCGGTTGGGTTTGTGTATTTCAACAATTGATGGGGCCTTGGAAGGTTTTCAAGTCTCGGTTAGCGATCTTTTACATAGCGTGAATATAGTAGGGTATTAACCGAATACATAACGTACGCGGGATCCACGAGCACCTGCCAGTGCGTTCAAAGCTTCAAAGCGGCCCATTAGTATTGTGACGCAATGTTTTCGGCCGACTCGGTTGAGAGACCGGCGCAGGGTCACGATGTCTGCAGTAATTATACAGACTCGTTTTACCTTCATGCTACTGTACACCGCATACCACACTGATCAAAACTCAGCTCCTCCCTCTAGCACTGAGGCAACCTATAAGTCAACTAGACCCATCGATTCAGATACTCAGGCCTCATCCCTCAGGCCCTACGAAACGCGTGGGTGTTTCGAGGGCCGACTGAGGTGCCTTTCCGCAGACAATGATGCCCAGCCAATAGCTGAGTTCTGTCAGGTTATGTAGGTCAATGATGATAAGAAGAAAGGCTTCGAAGAGCCAATGATGAGCTCACATCGGAGTCAGTTGACTACATTCAAGCTGTAAGGGGTAAATGTAATGAGTATCGAGGGTCGCGTTGCGCGTCCTTACACGAGAAGAGGCGGAAGGAGCACCGACGAACAGGAAGGATTCGTCGTGACGAAGCGCGTCGGTGTCTAAAGCTATTCAATGTTTAGTAACTCGGGAGAAGTGGAAGCACGAAAATCGAGGGTTGGGCGCCGATCAGGTGTTGGGACAGGTTGGGACGTACATACGTTCAGAGTCAACCGGCGTGGCGCGTTAGGTGGCCCACGACACTACAAATGTTGAAGATATCATCAGCATTGAAATATTCACACTTACACTTACAAGATGCGAGTTAAGGCAGGCCTCACCGCCCACGCTCAAGATATCGTCAGCATTGACTCCGAGTCGGACACTTACAATCAAAGAAAAGGTTCCCGTTCCCCGGGAACGGGCACGAGAAAGGCAAGAAACATACCATAACTTATCTGTAACATAAACCGAGAACAAGACATCGACATCGACGCATCTCGACATGATCCTCCATCCTCCATCTTCCAGTCTTGGAAAGTGCGCCTCGGAGATTAAGTACACCGGTGCGGCCTGCGCCAATCATTGACAACCCGCTGAAACGAACGTTCGTGAACCTCAGGCCCTAGCGCGACGATAAATAAATTAACAAAAAAAACCGTTCGTTCATCAGCCTAAGGAACTCTTCCCCGGAGATGACTTCGCTTCAAGCTCAAGAACAAAGGAATGAAAACGAAACGAAACGAACACGGAAATGGGGACATGGGGAAATGAGGAAACGGGGAAATGGGGAAAGATAAGGCCACTAGCAGTGACGGAACAGCCTCCCACGCACCTCACTCTCACTCTCACTCTCACTCTAACGTTGCATGAAGAAAATTTCCTGGCGTATCTGCATCTCCATCCCGCTCCTGGCGAGCTCCTGGTGATGGGAGTTCGGGAATTAGCTTCACTACCCGACGACGTGCGACGAACGTTCCTGGAGGCTGATTGTCGAAGCTTGTCGAAGTCGGGAGTGTCCATGGGCGGAGGCTGTATAAGTAAGATCAGCTCCGCAAGGGAATATTCAATACTGATATTTGCCGAGGTGGTAGTTGACTCCTCCCGAACACCGCCCAAAGCGCAGGGTCGAGTAAATTGCACACCACAACTTGACTTTGTGTCAACGAGTGCTCGGTACTGAATCTGAGTCTGAATCTGGAAAGTGAGGTAAGGGTAAGGATCCGGGATATGTTCGAATTCGTGTCCTCGTTGCGGATGGACCCCGTCCGGATAGAATTGCGCTGCGTATACGTAGGACGGAGCACCCTGTTTGGGGAATGGAATGTTTCATTGACATGTCGACAGGTTACGAGCTAAGATCTAAGAGCCCGACAAGCAAAGCATTCGAAGACGAACGGAACGGGGATGAGCGAACGAACGAACGGTGAAGATATGATTATTATTACAGTAAGGATAACGGTCAAAAAACCAGAACAGGGCCGACGTCATAACACCTCCAACTCTCGCACTCGCACTCGTGCGAAGCAGAAGCAGAAGCAGAAGTTCAACTCAGCAAGGGGAAGGGGAAGGGGAAGAAGTGATTGTGCACAGTATGAGGGTATGACGGTATGTCCGAGCGTCCATTGACAGGCGAAGGATAAGTAAGTACGCTCAAAGGTCAAGAAAAAACTTCAAGGAAGAGAGGAGCTGGTAGTACATACATACGAAAGAGAAACCTTTCGAAACAGGAACCAGTGGCAAAAGAAGTGAACACTGAAGACGTGGAAGACGTCCAACCCAACCCCCCCTCCAACGAACGGCCGATTTGTATTACCCCTTGACGTCGATTGTAAACTTCGCATTACTGTATCGTTGTCCCAGGACCCAGAACCCATGGGCAGTGTGCGAAGCCAAAGCCTGGATCGATTCTCGAAGTTCTAGTTCTCCATTTCTACAGCTTCTTTGAGTCGTTCACGTATTGTGTCAGATTGTGTCTTGTGCCTCCTATGTCGTGTGGCGTGTGGCGACAACGGATACCTCGGCAGTGGGCACAGAGACTGACCAGTGATTCATGACCCATTGGCAGTGGCACAACGGTAACACGGAGCTCCATCGTACACAGCAGTACTTATCTGGATTCTGAGTCAAGCGGATGCAACGTCACACCCGAGACCTGAGACCTGAGACCGGGCATGGTGTCACCGATAAGTCAGTATAATCAGAGAAATTTACGCCTGCTCGTAAATGCCCCGTAAATGGCCGCGGGTACCTGCCAGATCCAATCGTGGTTGAAACTTACATGCGAGGGGGATCTGGGCCGATATCGTGGGCGGGAGGAGGAGATGAAGGGAGGAACCTTCGTACGCCACGTGGCCAACGATAGCAGATCTCATCGCGCCTCGAGGCTTCGCGCTTGATCGTAGCAAGAACGAGCGTACTACTGTTTACCTTCTCGCTGCCTCCATCGGATTCCAGTGCGAACAAGTCTCTGAGACGGCCAGGTATTGTATCATACGAGCTTGTTGAAAGCTATTCTCTGTACCACGGCTGTCTTCTCGTTGCTCTCACGTGGCTGCTACTACATAGTACTCAGGCTCTCGCTTTGCTCATGCGGCGTTCGTGTTCACTCGCCTAAGTCATGCCGCCTGCCGCCAGTTCGATGCCCGTATCTCATAACTAGG